TTCCCACGCATGTGTTGCTTCAGTTCAATGAGACGCAGAGTAAACGTGTTCACATCTCCACCAGTAGGTGGCAGAATACGTGTATTTTAACCATAGATTTTATTATATTTAACTGTGTTTAAGTTATGTATCTGTTAATTCCGAGGCATTTATTGCTGTTTTGTTTCATGTGATTTTTAGGGTTCATTCGCAACCATTGTTGTATTCATCTTGTTTTATTTATTTCATGGAAGAGGGTTTATTAAGCAATAAGTAATGACAGTTTATAAACAGGGACGTTTGTTTTCATTAATTCTGGTTTATTTGTCACATTCGAAATCGAACGGTTAGGCCCAATAGGTCAAAGGGCCCTGATGATAGGAAATAATGTTGGTCAAATGCTGTGGTATAAAGAAAATTACTTGTATGGCTTTATGGCATTCAGACATATTGAATATAGAATATTTTACATTTTTCTCACTAGACAAGAACAATAAAAAAAATGAATTAATTCATCATTGCCTCCATGTTACCTTTCACGTCCCACCGTCAGGCTGGAATTGGGTTGGGAACCATTGCAACAGACTAGCTGCTCTTTAGCATGTTGGACACACCAGCATGACACTGTTACAGAAAATGTATTTCCCGCCAAATAACACTGGTCTACTGAAGCCTGTTTTGGGAGGAGGGTGTTTTAAAACTGTGAAAACTGTGACCGTGAACTGAGATAAACATGTCCCTCAATATGTAGATAAGATTGCTGTTTGATGACACTGGAATCTAATTTAGTAGAAGAAAGAAATGTTTGGACAGGTTGTCTCCAGTGGCACAACAACTGAGCACAACATGCAGCAGGGAAACATGGTGGTCATGGCATCATTTCACATTCTATATTTGACCTATTTACAAGAAAGAGATAAATATAACAAGTGCTGACAATGCCTTCTTGTAACACCAATCAAGCATTTGAGTCCATCTAGAAAAATTGTGGCAATTTATTGACGCCACTGTCCAGCAGTATAATAACATCTGTAAAGCACATTCCATCTCTGGCAACAACAAGTGCTCAGGATCAGGAAGCTGCAAAGTGTGAGGCTGGTGTTAGTGAGTTAGTGTTGTTACCACTCTGCAGCTACTGATGCATCCGGCTTCGCTGGCTCAGTAACTACTACTACTCTTCCTTAAAATAAGAATTGAATGTTTAACAATAACATTCTCTTGGGAAAAAAATGTCTTGGTGCAATCGAGAAGCTGCCCTAAAATCTGTCTTTGAGGTGGAACTAACATGGACACAATCAGTGATAACTTAAGGCTTCTTTTTTTCAAAATTGTAAGAAATCTGACGGCAATAAAACGTAAAAGTAATTTTCTTTGGAACACAGACCAACATTAGATCTTCTCATCCTTTGACCTCTTCGGTTTACATTCAGGATTGAAGTGGGACAAATAATGATTATATACGAAGGAACCAAAAGTACAGCATTAAATACATCTTTAATAACCTAAATGAATAACTTAAACACAGTTAAATATAATTAAATCGTATTTGGGTAAGGAGGTGGGAAGAGGTCAGGTTCGCACCGTAACTGCCAAGGTAGTGGCTATTACCCGGTTTCTTGCCCCTGCTACTCGGCGTGAATTGCGCAGGTTCTTAGGCATGACTGGGTATTATCGAACCTTTTGCAGGAATTTCTCCTCTGTCGTAGCCCCACTGACCTAATTACTCAGTCCTTCTGTATCATTTAAGTGGACTGATGAGTGTCAGTCAGCTTAGGTCTTTTTAGAAAGACCTATTATGCACTTCTCCGGTTCTGTCTGCCCCTGATTTTGAAAAAACATTTAAGTTAGAGGTGGATGCCAGTTCTGTGGGTGCAGGTGCTGTACTGCTGCAGGAACATGATGGAGTGGATCGCCCAGTTTGCTACTACTCTAAAAAATTCAACAGTTGCCAGTCCCGTTACTCTACCATAGAACAGGAGACTCTGGCGCTGTTATTTGCATTACATTTTTTTAAAGTTTATGTTGCCTCCAGTGTGTTGCCTGTTGTGGTATATACTGACCACAATCCTTTAGTTTTTTTGGGCCAACCACAACCAACGTCCCATGCGTTGGTTATACAAAGTTATAATTTAGAGATACGACACATAAAGGGGTCAGAAAATGTGGTTGCTGATGCTCTGTCTTGTGTTTGAATGGACCACCTCTGTCCTCTCCTTTTCCGCCTGCTGACCCACCTCTGTCCCCTTCTTTTTGACTTGCTTACTTTCTGTCAAAAGTGCTGAACTCACGGTCAACAACGAGACCTGGCAGCAGTTGGAACAGAACATAAACTGCAGAAGACCCAGAGGGATTCTCTGGCTGCTTTTAAAAAGAGCCAAGAGGATACCCACCACGAGATGGTCACAAGCAGTCGTTTCACTGGGTTCTGCCTGATCTCTAAGATGTGACAGGAAAATCAGATCCTTATCACCAGGATCCAGGATTTGGAGGATGACAAAACAGTCCTTGAGAACATCTGCCTCGACTTAAAAAAAAAGAAAAGAGGCATTTTTGGGAGACGGATGCAAGACCGGCAGACGGAGATGGACAAAATGAGGCGCAAGATGCAGGACGCAGAGACAAAGAAATAGGAGACAGAAGAGAATAAAAAGGAGACCATCCAGGACGTCAACATCAACGTGCCTGAGACTGGACACCAGTAAGAACACCTTCCTTCATCTACCACTCCATCCTACCTCATCCATCTGCCCCTGCTCCCCTTCCACCCACGCTTCACAGCGCTCAAGACCCCCCCCCCCCCCTCCCACACACACACCCGCACCGCCCCCTTCAAAGCGCTGAAGACCCCCCCCACACACACACTGTTGATTTTCCCTCCATCTATGGGTTTCCCACATAAAAAATCTGCTCCTATCAACATCTGGAGGATACCATCACACAAAGAAAAATGTGATAACATGGGCCACCCCATCATCTGTGGGTTCCCCTGTGGGTTTTCCCCCCTTCTTGGGTTTCCCACATAAAAAAAAAGAATCTCCTCCGTGAATCGCCACCTTAACATGGTGGAGGAGTTTGAGTGGCTCAGTGATCTATGTTGTCTGTGACCCCTTGTAGGGTGAATAACAGGTCTCAGGGGAGAGTCCAGACTAAGAGCGATTCAAAAACCCTGATGCTTAGCTTAGTCACCTGGCCCAGTCAGGAAGACTGGACAGGCTGTGCCGTTCCCTGGTGGCCTCATCTCCCTGGGGGCTCCGGCCAGCTGGCTGGTACTACCTGACCCCGGCCCTAATCAACCAGACATGAGTGTCATCGCCGTAAAGCAATTGCATCGGGTATATATATATATATTTACATTTGCCTGAGCACCTCTCTTTCACATTTAAAACTGGCTAATATTTATTGTATATGTATGAAAAACAACAGGTCCTTTCTCTGACTACTTTGGTAGTTGGGCCCAAAACAGCCTCTTCCATAATAGCTGTTTTCCAGAAAATTCTAAGGGGAAACATAAACCACCAATCATTTTTCTAATAGCTGGGGGGAAGCCTTTTACTTCTTGGTGATTCCGCATTAAGGCTGGCGGGTCCGTGCAGGTACCTTTTGATAGTCACTTTTACGGAAAAAGGGACTATCAAAACATACACACACCCATCAGTATTGTATTCCTTATTGGAGCATCTGAATTGCACAATGAATGGTAAATCTACAATAGAAGACAAAAGGCCAAAACAACAGTTGCATTGCACTGAAAATCCCCTCATTTAGTGATGCAGGTCCATTCAAAAGCATGGAATAGTAAACTGGGGAGTCTGAAAAAAAACATTTGAATGAATGAACTACCTGAAATATTTTCTCATTTATTAATAACGTCACCTACTGTGTCTGATTCAGGAAGAGAAAATAAGAAAGCCGTTATGTTGCTGCCCATAAATGATACCCGTTTCATTTGAACCTGAAAGTTTACAGTAACATGGTGAGCGCCAATATAGTTTCATATTCCATGGTCATTGACACCACATGAAACCACCCCCCTCCACTGTGACTATCACACGCATACAGTCAGTGCATCCCTCCACTACTCCCTTCATTCGTACTCTTTCCACCATCTTTTCCACTGCAGGCCTCATGTCCTTCTAGAATAGATCTAGGGTAATGGTTCTCAACGTACTTTTAGTGATCTACCTATATATCTAAGAAATATATACTGCTCTAGAGGAACAAGGAGTGTGTCGCGTATGTTGTTGTTTTGGGAGTTTCACGGTACCATGTATTCTCTATTTAAAGATTACCCCTTCCCTTTTTATCTGTAAAGTAATTTCACATCATCTCAATGGCACATCCTTCACACACTGCACGGGATACTTGTGTACTGTATGTTTAGATGGACCATACTCCAAGCCCCACCCAAAACATACTTTCTTCTTGAGTCAGGGCTACGTGACTCCTCAGCAGGTGCACCACCCTTTCCTCTCTTCGTGTCCCTGGGCGACCCAGCGCCACATTCTAGCGCTGCGCCGGTGCCAGCAGCAAGCAAATTAGACACCGGCACCCCTGCCTGATATGTACTTCTCTGTCCCACATCCATTATTTTTAGCTGGGATGCAAGCTAGACTTAATATGGGAAAAGAGTGCCTGATATTTGCCGCCAGCTCTAAATCCATCATACTGATATTTCTTTAGCTAAGCACCCCCCCCCCCCCCACACACACACACATACACACACACATACATACACTCATCCGATCAATCACAATCTTTTTATTCCACCTCTTTTTGCCTCTCTCTCCACCTCCATCCCCATCTTCTTCTGTTGTCAGTGGATATGTGTGGAAAGAGAGCAGGTTGGTCCTCATCTCCTCACTCCACCCACTGTTAGGTCTGAAAACACACACACACACACACACACACACACACACACACACACACACACACACACACACACATACACAAGAAGCTGTCACCCCAGTAACCCCAGTGGCCCCCACCTCATTTGTCCCGATTACAGACCACGTAGACATATACTTGCACCTATGTCAAACTTAGCCCAACCTCTCTTGCACCCGGTGCCCCACTGCCAGTTACCCATGTGAGGTTTTCAATAAGGTGGATGCAAGAGTCGGTCTTGCTCTCTTCTGGGTGACGCGGATTGGAAGGGGTTCTCTATACTTTTACCAAACTATTCCGTTTTTTCTTCTGGCGTCTACTTTTTCTTTTTAAAACTGTAAATACATCTTCATATATCCTAAAGAGGAGCCATGAAGTGGACCTGGGTGCTTGTGACAGTCTTGCTGTCCTTTGGGGGGCTATCACGCTGCAAAGAAAGCTTGGACTTCCCAGAGTACGATGGCAAGGACCGAGTGCACGACCTCAACGCCAAGAACTATAAGTCTGTGATGAAGAAGTACGATGTCATGGTGGTGTACTACCATGACCATCCCGGATCCAGCCGCGTCGCCCAGAGACAGTTTGAGATTGAGGAGTTGACCCTTGAGGTGGGTTGAGTTGGGGACCATGGGGTAGCATGAGATAGCTTACTGATGGGAAAGCTGTGTAACCACTGATGGATTCATAGAACAGCGCACACAAAAACCCTACACAAACTCAAAGAGTTTGATTGGAAGTTGTAATAGAGTTTGGTTTCACAATCTAGTTAAGTTTAATGTACTTGCATAGCTTTTGAATAAACCCATGTGAGGAACAGATTGCTGCTGGTAGAGGAATTAAGCAGGAACATATAAAAATAGATTGTTATTCATCAGACATATAATTAACATGTGTGGTTTCCAAAATGAGAATATCATTTCTGATGGACGTCTTTTTATAAAGGATTTGATATGTATTGAATGTGAAATTGAGCACAGGGGTGCGTTACGGGAAAGTGATGCTGCAAGGTGTAAAATTCCTTCGCTGACTTCAGAAAACCTGAATAGTGAAGTCCCAAAAATGTGTCACAAGCCTGCTGTGTGTGGTCAGTGTCGTCCACCCGAGGCAAAGGGCTGAGCTGTGGATATGTGTGTGTGTGTGTGTGTGTGAGAGAGAGAGAGAGAGAGTGGATGTACATAACCCACCTCCATCAGTATACTCAAGGCCTTCTGTCAGCATGGATACTCAGCAGTGTAATGACATTCCTCACAGGGAGATTACATCATCATACAGCGAGCTTTCAGTATCAGCTCACAAACGCATTAAGCCACAACTGACATGGGTGGGTCCTCATATTACTTGAATATATGATATACTGCAAAAGTCGTATTCGCGTTTCTTATCCGTCTTGTCCACACATTTTAGATCAGACCAAAAACAGACCTACACAGAATTGATATTGTTTATTTATTGTTTATGGACTAATTTCCACAGTGAGAGGGCAAAGTTTTTTAAAAAGTGTTAGCGATGTCAGAATTTTGAAATCAATTAACTCAATCAAGTGGCTACTGTATTTTAAGGCACATGCCATGGCCACTGCAGAGTGTATAATAAAGGGTGCTTCCTTGTGCACTTTTTGCATTGTTATGTTTCCAGAGAGCGTCTCCTCTCTTTTTAGGATCAGCCTGCAAAACAGACACAATAATAGGTGGCAAAACATGAATGCACACTGCTCCCCTTGGCATATCCCATCCCATGGGCAGCCTGCGGTGTTTCTGTTTCTGTCTTAGGGATCGACCTCAGGGCTGCAGGCCAGCACTGGAGCTTCTGGCTCCAGTAGTGCACCCTCAGCTCTGTGCTGTGATTGACACTTGAAGTACTGTACTTGTCAGCGGATCACGGTACTCATACCATCACCCCCACTTCGCCAAAATAGTCCCTAAGCTGGTGTGGCTCGTCCTGCTATATTTATCCCGATCTGCTTTTGTGGTGGAATGATCTCCCCGAAGGCGTATGTATGTGTTTGCCAATGAAGGGAGTGGGTGTTCTGTGTGTGTTGATGCTTAATCATTTAATTATTTCACTGTGTTAGTAAATTACCCCCATTTACGTGAAAACAGATTATACAAATTGCATGTATTGAAGGACATCAAGAAGGTATGACGATTTACATGGGAAAATATGTTGAGGTCCAAGCTGTGTTCATGTGTTATATACAAACTTTCCACTGCTACTGTATATATTATTTATCTATACAGTATATATATATATATATATAAACATCTCAGTGACCAGGTACAAGATGGCACTATTTAAGAAATACATAAATGAAGCAGCATTGAGTATTTTGCATGCAAAACGTTGATCCAGCTGTGACATCCCATTCAAGATATTATGAATATTAAGTTTATTAAATAAGGCAGATTACAGCTCAACAACAACATTTTATACTTGGAGGACAAGTATATATGAAGCAATACATGTGTCACTTGATCCTTTGAATTTGTTTATTTTGTATAAATTAAAATCCACATAAACAATCTAGAATGTTTGTATGTAAAAACACATACGTATCTGTAGCGTTCCTCTCACTTGTGTTACTATAATATATTAGTTTTATCAAATGTTTAGACGGGAAAATAAAAATACCCAGTGTTTTTTCAAATATTTTTATTGATTGAACAATGTATCTACAACTGTTTCAGTTGATATTATGAAGACTTACTCACCACAATCAATTGCCCTTTAAAGGTTTTTTTTAACCTACTTCAATGCCAAAAGAGTGTGGTTTGCAACAAAATATGTATTGCAGTGCAAAAAAATTAAGTCACAATATTTTAGGTGTATACACTTCTGCACTAAGGATATACTCATATGTTTTAATTCACCTAATTCATTGAAGCTACAAACTCACTAACTAATGCTTCACAATGCCGAACCCATCTGCAATCAAAAGAACAGCAGAAATGATCTGCGCAACAACCTGCAGGATAATCTGGTTAGTCGGACTATTTATGCCGAAAGCAGCTGCTCGAAATCTCAGACACCCGTGTGTGTGCTTTTTACCATCCAAACACACTGACACCGCCCTCAAACCACTTTCTCGATGCAGTCGGTCTGTGAACGAGCCGCTGCCATTGGGAGAACCAGCTGTCAGTCATGAGGTTCAAGTTTCATACAGATTTAGAAAGTGCATGAGCAGCACTCTGAAAAGCAGGCTTTTATGGTAATGAAACTATTGAGTGAGACCACTTTGTGAAAACGGTATAAATGTTCACGAGATACTGCGCACTCATGCAGGCCCCATTCCCATGTTTTTTAGGTGTTTACTACACTGATATATCACGTCCTCAGTTGTATGACAGTGTCTTTGTTTTACAGCTTGCAGCCCAGGTCCTGGATGAGTTTGATGATGAAGACATCGGAGTCGGCGTCATTGATGCAAAGCTCGACAAAGTTGTTGCAAAGAAATTAGGTATATAATATAACTTACTACAAAACGACACCGCCAACTCAGACACTTCTCGTTGTCAACCTATAAATCCATTATGTCTAAGAATAAAACTTGTGGAGAGGATGAGGCCAAACTGCCAGCATATGTGACCTTTCCTCTGGCTTCTTCTCTTTTTCCCCAGGCCTTGAAGAGTCCGACAGTATCTTCATCTTCACAGACGATGAAGTGATAGAATATGATGGCGAGCTCGCAGCAGACACTATCGTGGAGTTCATCTATGATGTTCGTGAGGATATAATCTCCCAGTTAATAGCCTGCTTTATTTTTAGAAAGAAAATACCAGTTTGCTAACTTTTAAGATGACACACAGAATCTGACTCTGGGTTATCTGCCCCCCCCCCTCCCCCGATCCTCTACGACCCTCCTTTTCCTTCATAGGTTCTTGATGACCCTGTGGAATTTATTGACAATAGTAGGGAACTGAAAGGCTTTGAAAACATCGAAGAGGACATCAAACTGGTGGGCTACTTTAAGAGTCACAAGTCAGAACGTAAGAATCTGTACTGTGATGGCATGATAACCTGTTTGAATTTGTTTTTCTTACAGTTGCTTTTCAAAATAATTGCTCATGATTGCACACCAAGCAAGTGCAACACAGGCCAGGATTCAGATTGATTGGTTTAACTTTGAGCAGCAGACTGCTTTGATATTTAAAGGGAGTGTCAAGTGACTAGGAGCCACATTAATGACGAGTGCAACAAGTCTACATTCTTAGATATTTCATACAGGAGCTGATCTACTGAAACAACTTGATGAATGCCTTCAATTTCAGATTTTGAGGCTTTTGCCGATGCTGCTGAAGAGTTCCATCCTCACATCAAGTTCTTTGCCACATTTAGTCCCAAGGTGAGTAATAAAAACTACTATCTTCCGTTTAACATTCAATAAACCTTTGTTTGCTTTTAAAAAGGTTTTCACAAAGAATCAACACACCGAAAACAGGAAACGCAAAACATAATTTTAATCCAAGAAATTCATGATTTATTTTTGCTATTAATCATTAAGATGGTCTCTGATTGTAACCCTTCTATGTTACAGGTTGCCAAGGCTCTGGAGATGAAGCTCAACGAGGTGGACTTCTATGAACCCTTCATTGATGATCCAGTTGTGATCCCAGGAAAACCTTACTCTGAAGACGAGCTGGTGAAATTCATTGAAGATAATGACAGGTACCTTCTATTAATGCTATGCTACAATGATACCATGAGGTGAGAGCTCAAACGACCATAATGAAAAATAAACGCCCCAAAACTTGTTCCTCTGTGATTTTTAAGACCGACCCTGAGGAAGCTGCAGCCACACAACATGTATGAGATCTGGGTAAGAACAAAGTAGCCCAAAGGTCTGTTTTTGTTCAGCTATTCTATGAAGATGGTTTGACAAGATTTCAACGCTCAAAACATCATGAAATTCCCCGTCTTTATCATTGACAATTAACTCCAGTGGGTTGAGTTTGTCTTTATTGCTTCTGCAGGATGACGATTCTGAAGGTGAACATATCATTGCTTTTGCAGAGGAGTCCGATCCAGGTAAAGGAACCCTGAAGGAATTGTACACATTACTGAATAAACACCACAAGACTCCTGCAGTAGTTTAGTTGTATATTTCCTCTTTTGTGCTCTACACTCCTTAGATGGTTTTGAGTTCCTGGAGATCCTGAAGGAAGTTGCTGAAGATAACACAGACAACCCTGACCTCAGCATTGTCTGGATTGACCCCGACGACTTCCCTCTGGTAAGAATACAAGACAGTACAATAACGCAAGCTTAAACACATATTCTTCACAAATGTCACCTTAAATTGACTGACTGATGACAGCTAAATTATTCCAATGATTTTTTTTCTCCCTTTTTGCCCTACAGCTTCTGCCCCACTGGGAGAAAATCTTTGGAATTGACTTGTCTTTCCCACAGATTGGTGTTGTCGATACTGGTGATGTACGTCATATTTTGGTACTTTTTATTTGATTGCCGGAGAATTTGTGTATTTTTTTGCAGTCTGTTGCATTGGTCAGGTTGGTAATTTGATCAATGACAAATTTTTTCGGTAATTTAGAACAATCTCAGTGGCCTTGTTTTGCAGAGGACCTTGTGCAAAATACCGTAAAGGTAATAAGACAAAGATAGACTGGAGTAATGTCCACCTGAGCAGAGATTGAAGTTGCTCTCCCTCTTTGTGCGTTGTATTAGGTCACGCATGCATGTGAGTGTACCTGTGTGTGTGGAATCCACAGGCCGGCTACTCGCCAGCCAGCTAATGCTGTTAGCACTGTTAGCTTCCAGCAAGCAGCAGCTCCACAGCCACAGATATGCTCTGAATTTGGAATTCATCACTATTACACCAATTTGTGTTTGATTACATTATCCCAAAATAACTGACATACTGGAAATATGTTTCTTTGATTCCGAGACGCTGGATAAAACTTTATATATTCTCTGAAGCTCCCGAACACGTCAATCTGGCCCAATATACAATCCAATACATGTGTCAATCCACACTGTAGCTAAGTTTACACTTTGCAACTTTCATATGCGTCTGGTGCAAACATTGCTCTATAGAGCTACTCGTCAAAAACACCGCAAGTCACCCTCAAGGCTTTGCCGTCCTCAGGGAAGCTCCAGCTTCTTCTTCTTCTTCATCTTCTTCTTCTTCTCTCTACAGGCTGACAGCGTCTGGATGGACATGGGCGATGGCGATGACATGCCTTCTGTAGACGAGCTGGAGGACTGGATTGAGGATGCTCTGTCAGGTGAAATCGATCCTGACGAGGATGATGATGATGATGACGACGACGACGACGACGATGATGACGATGATGACGATGATGACGACGACGATGATGACGATGATGATGACGACGATGACGACGATGACGACGATGATGATGACGACGATGACGACGACGACGACGATGATGACGACGATGATGACGACGATGATGACGCCAGTTGAGTAGACGACGAGAATGACGATGATACGGATGACGACGATGATGATTATTAAATCATTAACACATCCTTTACTCTTTAAGTCTGACCAATGCAGTTTCAAGAGTCAACATCATTAAGTCAAATCATCTCCTTTTGTAACTAGTTCTCGTGTTGAACTCATCAGTCCGTTTTGATATCACATCTCATTCTCTCCCTGCATCTCATCTGAACAATATTCAACTACTTTTTAGCCATCGCTCCATTGTTTTACCAAATCCTCCATGTAACAAAGTACAAAGTAAAGATCTATCTTCATTTTCACCTGTAACACTGTCCAGTAAAATAAAAAATGATAATATTTCAAAACCTCGCCAACTACTACTAATTTTTATATTGTTATCAATTTTTTATTTTAAAAAGCACCGGAGGGGTTACAATGTTGTATGCGTTGTGTCTGAGTCCGTCTGTGGATTCTGTTGCAGTCTGAATGTGTTTCCTCTGTTCATTTATTCTTGTTTACCGTAGCCAAACAACTGAAGTCAGACCCGAGGTGCTGGCAGGCTTTTCTGAAGGGTCTTAAGTACGACCACCTTACTCTGTGAAATCAATGTAATGCTGTACATTGAAAGTGCTGTACATCATATGGATGTTTTCTACGATGATGAAATATGACAACAGCCATATTCTATTTTTGTAACAAGAGGATTTTAACTGTAAAGTCTTAAATAAATCACAGCTTGGACAGGAACCCCATTATCATGTTGTTTTTTGAAGGCATGTGCATGTTTGTGAATTATAAAAAAATACAAATTGATATATATATATATATCAATTTGTATTGTACAATTGTACAATTTAAATCATATATATATATATATATATATATATATATATATATATATATATATATATATATATATATATGATTTAAATTGTTCCGTGGGATTCCTGATGTTTTTAGAATGCCTCAACAACAAACTTGTTATTGGTCACTGATGTCCGTGCAGAGGTGAACCACCAATACCGTGTCAAATAACCTTCAACTGTAGCTATACACTGTAGGCATCGTTAGATACATTTTTCCTAATGGTAGTTACTTAGTATGCAACGCATTTCAAGTTTGGTGCTCTTTCTATGGCAAACTTCTAAAGCAGCATAAATCTGTAATAGCTCCATTTTAACCTGGTAAATGGCAAATACAACACTATCGAACAGAATTAATTTTAAAGGATAAGTGTTCACATACACTGCACCAGAAACAGCATGGTGTAAATGTTGCAATGTTACCTCCACAAATTATATAGTTTGATGATTTTCAAAAAATATTTAGATGGATCAACAAATGCAGCTGATTAGGGCTGCAACTAACGATTATTTTGATAATCGATAAATCGGTCGATTATTTCTTCGATTAATCGATGAATCAGATTTTAAAAAAACGGCATTAAAAAAACAGAACCTCAAATTCGTCAGAACTAGTTCTCTATACTACACTCACAAACACACCCTCATGTTCACTTGAAGCATATTCATTACATTATTACCATCATTGTAGTGCGAGTTAAGTAAATGCATACAGCTAAAAAACAACCAAGTGCTATGAGATGAATTCAAAATGGCATTTGTAAATAAATGCATTAGAGGCTTCTTAGTTGATTTAATGGATCACCATGTGTCTCCCTTTACAGGCATAACATCAACTACCGTATAACACACAGTATACGCGCAAGCGCACTGGACTACCATTTATGACAGCATTAAAAAGTACAACACACACAAATATATTTGTCAACAATAACCGATATGGGACAAAGCACAAAATATCAGACAACACATTGAAAAATGAATGGTCCAAAAGAGGCGAGTAAATAAAAACGTGTCTTAGTCTTGCTAACTGCTTTACTGCTGTTATTAGGGAGCTAACGCCAGCTTGATCAGCTGGATGACGAGTAAACAGGAGGCTTGTTACGTCCCTCACGTCAAAACGGGACAACGTGGACCGGGACCCCCCACGCTCGCACACCTTAGACGACTAGAAGAACAGACGTCTCTCCCTGCGTCATGTGACTCACAACAACTGCCGGCTGCTCTTTCCTCTACGTCGGCTCGGCGCCTTTATTTTAATTTTTGCTCCGCGCGCATCTCCGCAACTCATTGAGTGACGTAATAATCGCGCGACACAGCGAATCGATAATGAAATTCGTTGCCAACGCTTTTAATAATCGATTTTAATCGATTTAATCGATTCGTTGTTGCAGCCCTACAGCTGATATGCAGACTTGAGACAGGACAGAACAGTGTATGAAGGTGCTCATCTTTGACACAACCCACCCCCTTCAGTACGTGGCGCGCATGCGCCAACTAGAGACACGCCTCCTCGTTCTACAAGCCATGTGGTTGCCGATGATCAATAAAGACGTCTGCTGATTCCAGCCCTCCTGGTTTACTTTTTTAGCGTACCAACTCTGACTTTCAGCCATTGCCAACATGTCGGCGGGCGTCGCGAGCCTCCAGGCGCAGGTGGAGCTCGTGCTAGGCGCGCTGGTCAAAGCTGCCACGGTGGAGTTAATCAAACTGTTCGAGAGCGGGTACCGAGCGCCGCCGGATGCGGGCCGCACCGAGGACAAAGGGCGACATGCCGCCCCGGGTGGGTTATCCACCGGGGCCACAACACGCAGCATCGGTGTGCAAGTGGACAAGGACATGAATCCGCTCTTTGAGCTTTGCGGTGGGTGTCTTTTGAGCTTTTAACTCGCGTGACTTGTGTACGTCCCCGGGTCGGGCTGCACGAACAGATGCACGAGGGGACAATTGCATCTTAAATTACAAATCGTCGTCCTTTCGCATGCAGCTCGGTAGACGTCGGGCTTCATGCATGTTCAGGTGTTGCATCGGCTTTGTTCGTGTGAAACTGTTGCGCTCAACTCCTGTGGGGCGGTCCTCATTCCTCCTCGTGGAGTGTAAAGGAATGTATGGGTGCCTCTGTTTAACCTCTCCTCTCCTCCACAGCCCCCCCTTTCCTTTCAGATGAGAATTTATACGGGAAGTGCAGTGTGGAGCTGGTGGAGGGGAGTGTCTTCGGAACAGAAATCCTCCTGGCTGAGGATGATGGCCAAGTTGACCCCGGGGCGTTGTTGCCTTTGGAAGAACAGGTTCGTGTGGATTTATAGGGGTTGTTAACTTGTGCCATGGGGACCCTCCCCATTCACCAGTAGGGTGAAACGGAGCATTCAAGTGTTTGTCACTGTTGGTACAGCAGCGTCTCTTGTCTTATTTGTTTTTGAGATGTTTCTTCTTCTAACAGGTCTCGGCGGAGACGGTAGATATGGTGAAGTTAAGTGAGCTTAAAACGGAGTCTCCAGATGATCCTCAAACAGACTTAATTTTGCATGGTAAGCAAAAAGCCCAGTGACAGTCGACGGGCGGTTACAAGATGCTGACAAACAAATTATGCACACCAATTTATTTATTTGTTTTTCCTCTGAAGCACTTGTATTCCTGAGCACAGATGAAGCCGGTAGTACAACCAAGAAACCAATCTGCATTACAATGAGCTATTAGACTTATTATATTTTACAACAGGAGTGTGAGAAAAGTCTTGCTAGAAACAAGCTTCTTTTCCTAAAATGTTTTAATGCTTGTTTGATGGATTGATGCAAATCATCAGAATAATATATTTGTTATATATATATATTATAAATATCTAACGTAGTAGTTAATGATGATAGCAAACTTAAGCAATAATACTCATCTACCTTTCTACATTTCACTAACAAGTAACCACATCTCCACCACAGACTAATTAACGTGAAGCCAAACTGCTGCAGCTTGCATTAAAGTGTGCCGTTGCATTTAAAGTTTTGCTTTCATTTAGTTTTTTTTCATAGACTGAAACCAGGTAGATAGAAACAAGTTACAAGACGGGATACAATAAAGACATCGCTGGTTGGTGTGCTAGACATTTCACCATACCTGAACTCATTCAAAAGCTGTTAACAGATAGACAAAGCCAGAAAGGATTCATATTCTGTCTCAAATGAACTCCTTGTATGCACTCAGTTTACAGCTAAACAAGACGCTTTCTGCAGAGCAGTGTTAATTTTGTCAACGAAAACAATGACAATTTTTTTTCATTAACTAACCTTTTTTCCATGACTAAGACGCGATCTTAAAAAATAAAAACTATGACTAAATCTATTCTAACTTTCGTTAACGAGACGGGACGAGACTGTCGGCCAGCAGAGATCCACGCGGAACTTTCTGCTCTGTTCTCTGGCGACGGCAGGCAGCGTTTCCTCAGCTGGATGAGCCAGACGTTACAGGCTTCTCCAAACACGTCTAACATTATAAAGTAATTGCAGGTTCTGAAGCCAAGAAAATAATGTATTGCACCGATTGTAGGACGTTAAGGGGTCTCTTTTGTTGGGACAGTGGAAACAATTTCAGTTTCCGGTGGCCGTGTCAAAAGCATTGCAAGTAAACTGACAAAGACCACAAAGTGTTGCGTTTAGGTCCCTAGTCCTCATGAAGTTGTTACACCTTTGCCAATTTGTTAAATTGCCTTGCAAATAAATGCTTTGCCATTTGTTAAAATCCAAATCCTTTCATGCAATGATTTTTCACATGTCATTTATATTAGCTCACACAAACACTCAAACCAATTTGTTCTTGGCCCGGCTCCTCCGTCACATTTTACAACCCATTGTGGCCCGCGAGTCAAAAAATTTGCCGACCCCCGCTATAGACCTGTCCTAGAAGGGACATCTAATGGACAACCAAGTACTGCAAGCTAGACTATTATGCAGTTGTAGACACAACACAGGGGATCCCTGGGCCTGAGAAGGGAATAAAAGGAGTTTAATATGGCTATTAAATGTGACTAAAACTAATTACATTTTAGTCTAGTTTTCGTCGACTAAAACTAAGAAGGATCAAACTGACTAAATGTGACTAAAACTAATATGCATTTTTCGTCTGAAGACTAAGACTAAATCAAAAGTAGCTGCCAAAATTAACACTGCTGCAGAGAAGAATACTTCTGAAGGGGAATGAGAAAAAGATGGTGGGAATGTATAAAACAACAAAAAATGCATCTTGATTTCTTTCTGCCTCTGCAGAGACATGGACGCTAAGTGCAGAGCAAAGCTCTCCGGCTAAACAGAAGCCCCTCGTGATCATACCAGATACTTTCAATATCATTACTGGGGAGACGGTTAAGTTTGTTTGCCCGTTGATCCTCAAGTCAGAGTCTCAGGCCCCGAAACCTGACATTTCAGAGACGCCCGTTAAAGCAGAGCCTCAGCAGGTCTGTGTCAGCACCGCCAAGGGCACCGCCTACAGTCCGTCCCCCACTGACGGAGCGGTGACCCCGGCCCCAGTGGAGGTTTGGGAACGGACCCACACGCCAAAGGAGACTGAGCACAACCTCCACGTGAAACTGAAACGTACTTCTCCCAACCACGAGCTGACGCGTCCCTGCGCCGTACAGCTGGTGGACGTGCTTGCTGCGCCCGAATCGGAGGCGAGGCTTCAGGGCGCCTCCGCTGACGGTCACGACGCTAACCACAAAACGGGTTGGCCTCTGCCCAAAGACCTCCGCCGGCACCACAGCTTCCACAACGGCCACCGCATCTGCTGCTTCACCCCTTGCGAAAACGGCGTTTGGCGGCTTCAGAAGGCCGTCTCCCACGCCGGCGGCGGATACCCGTGCGGCGTCTGCGGGAAGACATTCAAGCGGCGGAAGATTCTCCGGCGGCACGAGCGCTTCCACACCGGGGAGAAGCCGTACCCGTGCTCTCGGTGCTCAAAGTCGTTTGCGCTGAGGAAGAGCCTGCGCCGCCACCTGAGGTTCCACACGGGGCAGAGGCCGTACACCTGCACGCATTGCAGTAAAAGCTTCCGCCTGCGAGAGAATCTGAAGGCGCATTTGAGGTTTCACACGGGGGAGAAGCCTTTCAGCTGTGCAATCTGTGGCAAGAAGTTCAGGATCCTAAAGAATCTGGAGAAACACAACCTGACCCAGTGTGGGTTCTTTGTTCCTTCGTTCAGGACGATCGCTGGCTTGTAGCAGTGGAATCACAGCCGCCAGTGGGTGGTTGTGTTGGCCGCACAACTCTCTAGCTCATTCTTTTAAGCTAAGGAAAAGACTGTGGTTGATTCCAGTAAAACCTTATTCTAATGATGTTAATGAACAATGATAGATAGAAGTCTTATGCTACTGATGGTTTGAGAATCTTCTTTCTTGCCCTGTTTTTGCCTTTGTGGTTGTGTACCAATGTTTTTGGAACAGAGTGAAAGGGTTGTACAACTACTTGACCTTTCTTAGCATTAGGCCTTCTCAGAAACAAATGATCACTACAGAAGATTCCTTCCACAGCAGATGAACTACTGAGTGCTCAGGCACGGGATCGGACCTGCCAACACTAGTTTATTGGTTATACTTGTGTGTACTTTGGTATTTTTGTTATTCTTTTATTTACATCCATGTATCTTATCAAAGTGTTTGGTTTTCCTGCTGTGATTACTGAATGTCCCTAGGCTTCTTTCCTTCTATAACATTAATGTCAAAGAAACAAGTGCCCGTAATGTTAAAGCCCCTGAGAGTAACAAGTACATGTGGCCAAACAAATGCTATATCACATTCCCTTTTTTATTAAAAAGAAAATCATCTACGTTTCACTATTCCTGATGATGTCGCCGATAATTTTCCAACGGTTATTTTACTAGATAACTGTTTCTCGTGTATTAAAGAAATACATTTTTGTGGTACATAACTTGGTTATTTTGTTTCTTCAACGTACTACAATCAGCAGGGAGGAAGGATACGAATTTCTAACAAAGCGGTAAAAGCACACTTGAACTAACCAATGCCTTATTTAATGTCAAGATTGCATGTAAGTTTAATTTGTTATCACTAGTTAAAAACATACGTCAATATGCAATATGTTATTTTATTTAATGGACTAATGTAATATGGTGTTTCTACAACATATTCAGATATGTTAGGTAGTATAAAATATAAATAATGCAGAAAATAAATACTGATGCAAAGAGTCCTGCATTTACAACATTACTTGTGATGTTCAAAAGTAAAAATCTATTCATGCAGAATGTCTCCTTACACCTGTTAAAGATGATTTCTACTACTTTACGTTCTGCCCGGATGCCTCAGTCTGAATATATTGGAATTTGTTATGTGAATTTTTAAAATGAACAAAATTATAAATCTGCTTTTAAAATTACCACTATAATATAACTGTAATAAGTTCGTTCTGCCATATGAACAATCATTTAGTTCATATTATTTAACCAATGTTAAGAAATACATTTTCATGATTTTTTCTGATCTTTGATGATATATTGTGCGGTTTCTGACATCAGGGTACACAAACAGGAAGGGAAAAATTAATGTGGAGTAAGTCCAGTCAGGGAACTCCGGGTGACAAGGAAAGATGATGATTGATGCAGGATTTAATACATACTACATACCTTTCACATATCTTTGACTTGATGTTTATATTTTGAATTTACGGCACGGAAAAACACGCTGAATAAGTTATTAGCCAATGTTTTTTTTTTAATGGTTGCTTGAAGACCCTTTAACGTTAGTAGAAATGACACCGTTACCATTATTATTTTGAGTGGACGTTAGCAGGTCATGTTTCAACTTTTTCACCGCAGGCCAAATTCCTCTCGCTGTCGACCAACTTTAAGCCCCGCCCACCCGGAAGTACGCATACAAACTCAGCAACGCTTTCGATTTTGCAATGTGTGCACGAGTGACAGCAGTTTAGTTACTTGGAGGTCGTTAACTGTCCCCCAGCATTCACTTTGAAACGGATTCCCTCCCGTTATCTCGTGACGAGTGTCGTGAGTTATGCAGAACAAACGAGACAGAAGTGTTGACGCCATCAGGTGAGCGCTGGACAAGCTCTGCGATTGACTCCGTCCCGACTGTTCCTTTGCTGCTCAGTGGCACTAAAAAAAGGAGAAGAGGGATTAAGAATGGAGGATATGGAGGATGCGGAGAAAACAAAGCTGGAGGAGCTGCTCATGTGCCCGGTGTGCCAGGACGTCTTTAAGGATCCCCGGCAGCTGCCCTGTGGACACAGCATGTGTTTGGCCTGTCTGCAGACCCTCATGGATCACTCTTCAGATGTTCCCTTCCGCTGTCCAGACTGCAGGACTCATTTTGGACCGATCGTTGGGGTGCATAGGAGCTTCGCACTGGCCAACATCGTGGAGGACTTCAGGATGAACATGAGGAGGAGGGTATCAAATATAATCACCTTTTTCAACCACAATCTCTTTAATCATAACATACAGAACTGTTGACCATGGTCTGACAGCCCTTTTCCATCTGATTTTTGTTGTGTGTGAGCAGGAAGAGCAGACAAAACGTGTGTACTGTGACTGCTGCCCGGAGAAGAAAATTCTGGCCATCAAAACGTGTCTGAAGTGTGAGGTGTCGCTGTGTAAAGAGCACGTCAAGGACCACCAGGAGCTGCCCGTGTACACGGGGCACCCCTTGGTGAGCCCTCTAGGTGACCTCCTGGAGAGGAAATGCCCAGAGCATGAGGACCAGGTGCTAAGGTACTTCTGCAACAGCTCGAGGCGCTACCTCTGCAACATTTGCTCCCTGGAGAGCAAGCAGCACAACCTGGCCACTGAGGCCTCTTTTGTCCTGCGGAGACAGCTGACTGTGAGTTTTGAATAACACACTTCTATGTACAAAAACAAAATGTCAATCGTAAAACGTGTTAGATTCCCAAAGGAAGTTTTGTGATCGCAACAGAGTGGGATTACCCGCACTGATTTTGTATGTGCCTGTTGCTGCATCTTTGTGGAGAATCAGGTTTTGGCAGATTTTCTGGTTGCTGAGAACCTGAAATGTTTGAAATAGTTAAATAATGATACTGTGCAGAATAGGATGATTTCTTTTGGCTACTTAAGGGAAAATGAAAAAGCCAACTAAATGTTTAAGGGTTTAAAGGTGAGCTGTATGTACGCAACAGGAGTACATGGACCAACGCTTTGACGCGCTTAAGGAGCAAATCGGAGAATCCTTTGAGTCTGTAAAAAAACTGCAGGAAGACCTCAAACATGAAGTAAGCTTTGTTCATTTGATCTGAGTTTTCTAAATGATTTAAAAAAAGGGATTTCCGTTTATCCATCTAATGTGTACTTTCTTCCTTACAGAAACAGACAGTGAAACCGGTCGCGTCGTCCCTCAACAACGTCACAGTGATTCTTCTCGGCCTGTGGGTCATTGTGTTGTTTTATGGTAAGTTAACTCCCAGCTGTGGTATTGAGTGCATCCCGTGTGAAAATGCACTCCATGTTGTATCTTTTGTTTGCTATCAGCTTACCACTACTCTGTGGAAGTCCAGACGCTCACCGAAATGCTCGATGCCCAGACGAACCGCGTGCATCACATTCACTCCGCCATCGTGGGTAAGGAAGGCCTCGCACACCCACTTCTGCCTACTTCCATGACAACAAGCCAAATCAGAGAACGTCTTCAGTCTTTGTGTATTGTGTTTAGCACATATTAATTTCCATATACATGACATTTGTTAAGGGGTATGTGTATTTGGGTGTTAAAGGAATAGGTCAACATTATGGGAAAGTTAGTCAAAAAAACAATTGGCTACCCCCTGCAAGTGAGTAGCTTAGCTTAGCATGAAGGCTGTTAGGGGGAAAGTCTGGTTCTGTTCAAAGGTAACACAACCCACCCTCCACAACTGTTAAATATCTGAAATGAACATGTTGTTGATTCCAATGCTTTCAGTTTTAATGTTCTGGTAAGCCAAGCCGACCAGCTGCTGGATCTAGCTCCATATTTACAATATTGTTCACTACATGAGAGTAGCATGGTCCCTTCCTTACATTTAGCAAGATTGCATGCAAGTGAAATGTTTGATTCCTAGAAATGTCAAACTATTACTATCCTTTTAAATAGGCTAATGGTTATTCATATGTGAGAAAATCTCCATCTGCGTAACTCATAAATGAATCAATGCATGAGTTGAATTTAACTGCTGTCTGATCAGATTCTCCACTTACAGGGAAAACAAGACCAACATGGTTAATCTTTTATTTTTTTCCATCCCTACATAGAACTCTTGATGAATCATCCAGTAATGAGCCACAGACCTGCAGGGACAGAAGAGCAAGCTACAAGATATGATCTTGTGAAACTTTGGAATGAAAACCTTAGTTAAGGGCATTCCACAGGGAACTACGCTTTGTGTTTGAGTAAACTGACGAGTCTGATTGGGAGGCTGTCAGAACATGGGCTTGTTGTGACTGTGGGATGCTGGCGAGGGAGAAAGTCAGACCATGCGGGTTTTTACAGCCACAATCATGTCCTAATTAGCATATTACCTGTTATCATTGTTCTACTGTCCTGGTTTCAGATCGTCGTTCCCTCAATAGTTAAGGCTAAAGTCTGTTTGGTTTCTTGCAGAGCAAGAAGCCTGCATAACAAAAATACAATTATTATTTTCCATCACTATTCAAGTTTCACGTTCCTTTTCTTCACAAAAGGAAACATGAACATGTTTCCTTTTCATAACTTGATTTGAGGAAACACGTGAGAGAATTCCAAAGAATGATCAAACTCCTGGAGGTGCTAACATTGTCAAAGTATCTCTAAAATCTGTCATATATCTATCATCGGATAAAAACAATGATTCTGTGCATAGGGTGATTGTTATGCTGCCCACAGGCTGAAATTTGAGGGCTATGTAGCTTTTGCAGAACAAGTGACAATTACAGAATGTGTCAAAAGTAAAATACATGTGGTGGGAAAAAAATGTAATTGTAGCTGCTGTTGAGCCTTTGTGAACTGAAATAAAGAATACCAATTACTCCACATTCTCATCCCCATCACATTTAATATCTTCTTTCGATGCAGCGTGGAAAGAAACATTTAGTGTCTTATCCGGCCTCTGCAGGCATCTGCTGTGACGTTATCACACCCATGGCAGCCAGAAGGGTCATCTGTGTATGTGGCTGGCCATCATACACTTTCCATCTCCATGCTGAGAAAAATTCCTCAATGGGGTTAAGGAATGTGGAGCAGGGTGGGAGAAACGCCATCCGCATCCTGTTGTGGCTCGCAAACCACTGCCTGATTATGTTCGAGCCTTGGAAACTGACATTGGCCCAACCCATTACATACGTTGGCAATTCATCTCCAATCTGACCCCTCTCCTGTTCAGGGATGAGATCCCTGTAGAATGTAGAAAGGCTCTGTATTGTATGGCCCATAACGTGTGCACAGGTGTGGCTCTTATCCCCTCAGGAACACGCACATGTCCTCGGCCTCTTCTGTTTTGCCTCCCAACTCCTCCGCCACGCAGCCTCACTCTTCTTCTTCCTGGCGGTTGACTTGTCCCATTCCTTGTTCTTCCATTGTCAGATATTGTAACACTGTTTTGTGCTATTTATATACTTGCCAGTTGATGGTTAATGAGATGCACCGTTGTTATAGACAATCGAGATTCACCTGGGACACATTTTCCAATTTACGACAGATTCAGAAAAAAGTAAATGTATGCAAATATGCTGGACATATGACAACTTGTTCAGCCATTTTGCATGTAATGTCTTACGCAATGAACTAATGCATGTGTGGTGACCCAGGACGCATCTTCCCAGCCCTCAGCAGATGAAGCACTATAAATCCCCTCCCCAAACAGGCAACTGACATACAGCTAGGTGCACTTTGTAATGGCAACAAATGTAGAACCATATTATGTATAACTATTTTGTCCTTGTTGTAATCTCTAAACGTACATGTCATTTATTAAGAAACGGCTACTGGGTCTACGCTTCCTTGTCACTTGTATAGAGTAACAAAAGTACAAACTATGCACTGGTTGGTACGGCTCGTCTCATCCAGGGAGTAGCGAAACTATCCAAGGCCAGTTAACAGATAAGCCCCCATGGGTGCAAGGCGCATAGATGATAACTTTTTGCTGTGCTCTGAAACCTCACAGATTACTCCTTAAATGTTTACTCACTAAAACCAATAAAATACATTAGAAACACATTTTAAATATAAATATCAAGCTTACCTTTATTCCCCCCCCATTAATTAAGCTTGTTGTGATGGCTATTTTGAAAAGACCACAAAAAGCAAGTTGTCAAGGCCAGACCCCCACCATGAGATGTCATTTTAAAAAGGTACAGATGTCCTCTTCAAGCAAAGTAAGGACTCAATACAGAGAAATTAGTATGAAAGGAAGTGGAAAAAGCGACGTGCACTACACTGTCCAAACATTTTGGGGTTTCAGGAGGATACAGCTGGTTATATTAAAATAGGTAAAGTTAATCCAGAGTCAAGATGATTCAAGTCAGTGTATAATTATAACAACACAAACAAAACATCCCTCTGGACGCAAGTCTGATTTGCTGGTATGCTTCTCATTGTGATCTAACTATTTGAAATATACATATATTTCACAAGAAAGATTTAAAATCTACTTGAAGATTATTTGATTATGGATCAACCTGCTCAAAGCCCACTCATCATGGCAAGATGTGATCTGACTGCATGTCACAGAAAAGGTTCATATACCATGGACAAAGTCTACCGTCCCCCACCTGCTCGCTGCCTGAGTGTTTTACTGGAATTTACAACCAAGACATGCTCCACAGATTAAAAGCTGGACCCCCCCGTGAAGTGGGGTTTCATTTAAAATACACAAAAGATTAAACACACAGAATATTAGTTATTTATGGATTATAGTATTCATTTAATCCTACAAAAGGACAAGGAAACAGAACAGGAGTGAATTGGTTCATCTAACTGCAATAGCAGCTTTTTTCCCCCAAACAAATGGCAATAATAAACCTAAAAGGCTACTATTCTCAGTACAAAAACAAGGTGTACAGTGGTAATAATTGTTACATATTTTAGCCTCAGTTACCATAGAATTGGAAATGTTGCTTCTCTAGAGACATGAAAAACCAAAACATCACTGAGCATGAATTCCAGTCAGTACTGTACAATCATGTCACAAACTGCTGTGAAAGTGTCCTCTGTGAGAGCCTTTTACAGTAAACAAGTATAACCTGACCTGTATGAGCCAGAAAAATAACTTTTTCCTCATCAACTATAACACTTCATTGTGCTGATTTCCTTCTCTAGCTGCCTTCAAGTCTCTCGACTAAAAACTGTACCACAACACCAAATTATTGCCCTTACCTTTCATTACAATAGTGTGCCAAAAATACTAACATGGAAACGCTGGCCTACGTTGGCTCGGACTGAAAAACAAGTGTTCTGTTGATGAGATCGGTAGCCGCTGCTCATTTCACAACTCCCATGGTCTGACTCCTGATCGAGCACCACGCCTTGAATATAGTGCTGAAAAAAAGAAATGGAAAATACATGGTTCAGAAAACGCTCATTTCTGCTGAAAACTAAATGCAATCAAGTGCATGTTTCAATCGTCCACACACACCTGCAGTGAGTGGCCACACATTCGTTGCTGCAGTATTCTTTGTCCCAGTCGCAGCTCTCTACGGCCGGGTTGTTACAGCCCGTCCTCACACACACACTCCTCATAGCAGAGGCGTCACCAGACCCATTCACCTCCATCTCCTCCTGAAAAAGCAAAGCAGGAAACGCATCGAAGAGCAAGATCATTAACATCCGGTAAATTAAGTAGCTGACTCAAGTTAGCTAAGCAAGCTAGTGATTAGTAGAGACACTGTGGACCGTTGTGTGTGAAGCTGCCTTATCCATGTCAACTGGCATGTGTGACCAGCAGCTTCTCAGTACCCCGGATGTCGTGAGGGTAACACTCGTTTTCTTCTCTACGACAGGGATTTACACCTGTGCCACATTCTTTGTATTTCCTAATGAACAGGCGTTTATGAGATCTGAAGTGCCTTAGAAATATCCCTGCATCCTTCCACAGTACTTTTTATTTCTCTGGACAAAAGACCAAAGTCATTCAATACATTTTTTTTAACACAATAAAATCTGCCATATTCCTATTGGATTCTGCTGCTATGGTTTCTCACTCCTTTCGGCCCCTCAAGGTCATACGATACGACTCCTCCGCTTCACTCTACAAGAGGGAAAAGGGTTTTCTCCAGATAAGTAACAAGCACACTCAAAATCACATTCACAGTTGAATGAATGTGTTGCTACGACAACAGCCATGTGTTGTCCGAGGATGAATAATGTTGACGATCACCTGAAAGCTATTTGTGGAGAAACAAGGTTTCACAAAAACAAACACAGCAGCTAATTAAGAACATGTACCTCTTCTGAGTGCAGCACTTCTGTAACTTCGTCGTCCTCCGTGTTGCCCAACGCGTCGGCCGAGTTCACCAGCTGCACAGACATGCCGGGCGCAGACTGGCCGGTTGCGGTAGATGACAAAGACACTGTGTTCGGGACGATAATGGGCAGGACTTCTTTGCCCTGCAAGGATGCAGGAACAATCTTTATCTGGAGCGGCGGCGGGGGAGTCGCCGCGATGGACACGGGCAGACCCGGCGTGCCGCTCCCCTCTCGAGGCTTGGCCTGCAAGGGCGGGGGCGCCGGCGCCATTTGCTGGAGCCGCGGCGGAGGTGGTGCGCTCTGCATCTGCTGCAGCGGAGGCGGCTGACGAGAGGCCCCCGACACTACCAGCGTGGGTGTCAAAGCACAGACGCCTCCCTGCAACACGGTCACCACCTGGCCCCCCGCCTGCAACATGTGCTTTGGGATTATGATCTTTGTGATGGTGGGTGACGGGGGCAGCGCAACTGTGGGAGCGGGGGGCTTGTTCGCCCCCGTGCGGGAACGCGTGGTCATCTCCGGCACGTCGAGGATGATGTTGGAGGCACAAATGTTGGTGATGGTGTTCTCTTCCAGGCTGCTGGTAGGCAGCCTGACGGCCTGGTGACCGGCAAAGGGAAAGGCTGTGGGTGTCACACTGACAGCCGGGGGTGGAGGAGGTGGTGGTGGTGAAGGAGCGGTCTCCATCTCATCATTTGCAGGCTGTGGGGCAGATACAAAGAAACACATTAAAGCGATTTGAAAGAAAAGTTTTCATTCAGAGGAAAGCCGGAACTTACTTGTATGAGCTGGTTCTCTCTGTAAGCTGCCAGAGCTTTCAGATACTCCCGTTTGGCTGCTTCCGTCTTCCTCTTATACACCTAACGGAGACGAGAAGCCATCGATGTAAATCACTGTTTCTCCCCCAAAAGTGGCACGGGACATTCACCTAAGCAAATACCTGCTTCTGTCCCTCAGCCAGACTGTCCCACATGGAGGCCACAATCTTTGACACTTCCCCAAAAGAGGCGTTGGGGTTCTGGCCCTTAATGGCTGCCTGGGTGTCTCTGAAGAACAACGCGTACGCTGAGACAGGCTTCTGCGGCTCGTTTGGGTCCTTCTTCTTCCTTACTTTCTTAGGGCCCACGGCCCCAGTCACAGAGGCCAGTGAGGCCGGCTTCCCGCCGCCTCTCCTGGATGTAGCCGGAGACACAGAAGACGTAGGAGTCGGGTGGGAGGACATGTGGGAGAGGGAAGAGGTGAGATACAAGGGGGTATCTACCAGCACACACCTCTGAGTAGGGAGAAGACAAGCGAAGACAGGGAAGGAGACTTATTAGTGCGCAAGCAAACATTAAAAGGTATCAAGTATGCTTCTACAGGTGTAACCTCTCACCTTGAAGTCATCCATGTCCTCGTCCTGCAGCGAGCCAGCCGGTGATGGGGTCGCCGAGAGCGGCTGCTCGGAGGTCCCCGAAGGGTGCCCGATATTATCACCCCCAAGACCAAGTGCCAGCTCAGACGGGTTAATGGTGCTCAAATGGCTGCTCCCCAAGAGACTGTGACTGATGTCCCCAAGTTGGACATCAATGGTCATGGGGGACGAACTGCTGAAATGTGAACCACTGGAATTCCCCAGTTCCTGCGGACGGAATTTAAACACAAAAACATTTAAACACACCCAACAGCATTCGGGGGCGATGGTCCCTCAGGTCCCAGATACTCACCAGAGCAGAGGAGCTCAGAAGGGCCCCCCCTCCGGCTTGGCCCATCGCCCCAAGGTTCAGCTGCTGCAGGCCCTGAGAGCCAGAGTTCACAAAGGTGGAGGCGAAGGAAGGGTCATTGGCCTCCACCACTAGGTTACTGACCAGGCTGCGGGAGCCAGAAGCCCCCCCGGGGCCAAAGTGGGACACCGCATCGCTGATGCTCAGCGTCGGGTCCGGGTCGAGAGAGATCGGGGGGATCTCGAAAACCTCATCCCCGAGACTGGGGGTATGGAACGTCTGCTATACGAAGAGGAGGAGACGGAGCGAGTGGTCAGTCCTTAACGACCGCAGATGCAAGCATACAGGTGGGCGCGGGGAAGACGCGTCCCACGGTCTCCGCGTGGACTCACTCACCTCCGCGGACAGGAAAGGGTGCCCCCCTCCGCTGATGGCGAGGTAGCTGTCGCCGCCTTCTGTGAACTGAAACAGGCCGTTGAGCACACGCGCCGTTAACTAACGTTAACCAACGTACACGCGTTGTATTAGTTAAAGCCGCCCGGTGGTGATGCTTGGTTACCTTGTTTTCCTCCGAGTAGCCACCGTAGGTTTGCGTGTCCAAAAACTCCGAGTCAACATTTTGAGCACAACCATCCGACAGTTCGGAGTAGAAATTGAGGTCCATTTTGAGAGGATTTACTCTGAACACACATACACCCACATACGCTGTATGCTTTGTCGTAAAGTGTAATACGTCAAGATCTTACCCATTTAGAACAACTATCTAAAAATGAAATAAAGTTGCTAGCTGCTTGCTAGCTAATGTGTGCCATCGGCTAGCATAACGTTGTGGTCAAGAAGATGAAGCTAAGCGATCTCAGCTTTGAGGGCCTATGCAGACCTGGGACATGAGGTTGCTGGGGGCTGATAAAAGTAAAATAATAAGTTATCAAAATACTGAATAAGCTCCCCGGGGAGCAAAGCTAGCAGGAGGCCCGACAAAAACCCATTCATACGGTGGTGTGATGCTACCACCATGTCCGAAACACAGCTAGTGTTGCATTCACGGGCTATCGGAAGGAAGGAGATTATTTCAATAAACACAGAGGTATTTAGAAATCTACTAACGTTAATTATATATACACACACACGACTTTAGCTTTTAACTTCATGTCAGCTATGCGAGACTTAATACATGATGGTTAAAAGATAAATAGTTTTCTAGATGAACAAAAGTCTAAACCTTTAGAATTATTTACAACCATGTTTTGAAGCGTCACGGTTCGTTTGGCCAATAAAAAGCCAAACACTTGTTTCCATTTCGTTATTCCTGTAGATAATCCAACCAACTTTTTATATATAAAAAGTTTGATTATTTTCCATGGACGAGAAAAAAAACGCCCTGAAGGCAGCACTTCCGATTTAAACTTCTCGTCCACGCGCCACTTAGCACTCAGAGAGCGGAACAGATACCCTGCTCAAAAAATTAAAAGAATAAAACAATTTGCAAACACGTTTCATTATAAAAAATAATGAGGTTGATATCTAGTAGTGATGGTGAGATAAAGCCTCATGAGGCATCGAACCACTTCAGCCAATTGGTTCGAGAAAGGGTTCATTTCTCGAAGCTTCATGTGCACACAAAACCACCTACTGGCCAAGTGTATAACCACAGGCAGCTGTATCTAAACCACATAATGGATGCATTGAATTTTTGTGTCTGTTATGGCTGTTGGGAATGACTATGAATTAAAAAAAATGTATGACCAAATCATTTCTGTACATAAATTATCACAAACGTGCATAATAAATATGTTTTAATGTATTCTGTCTGTGTAAATTTTCCCCAAATGGTAGTATCATATGATATGGCAGGTTGTGTAGTAATGTTATTCTGTCACTTTATGAAAATGGCATGGGCTTAAGCAGGCAGAGGACAGTGAAAGTGCTTATTGAACTATGAAGAGGGGACTGAATATGCTTGTGTAACTTGGACAATGATGTACAAGACAGGGGACATTTTATTCATTTTTATTCAGAAATAAGTTACTCAACAGTCTTTCTCAACCATATTGGGAGCACCATCAGTGACCATACATGTCACCTTATTAGCAATTCCCCATTCCTCCATCAGGGAGGCTTTGACACAAGCTATATTTCCAGCAGTGGTGATTGGGGGAAATGTCTGTACTCTTAACAGCACTGAACTGAGTGTGGTTAATAAACAAAAGTGAACAGGAAAAAATTGTGCTGCTGCATTTATAATATTGTAATGACTTACATTGGATGGGGGAAGCTCCAGTTTCCTCCGTATTCTCATGAAAGGCACGGTGATGCCTTAGCATGGACGAGGTGTTGTTATCGTACCCCAACTTCTTGGAGCACAATAAACACCTCACCTTTGAATAAAATAAGAAACTGAAAAATACAGTTCTTGATAAGCAAACCTAATGTGTCTGAAATAGTTACATTTAGCTTACCTTATTAGGAGTTATCGAATCAAAGTGTTCCCACACAGGGGAAATCCTCCTCTTCCTAGCTGGCTCCATCTTATCTATCATTCTCTCCTCACTCTCCTAACTCTCCAAACTATATCTCTCTCGAACTTCTCTAAACTACATAAACGCTATCCAAACTCTCAACTGACCGAAAGTCTCCACCAACAACTCACATTTTGAATGGAGCCTGAGGGGTTTATATTGATGTCAAACCTCCCGGCAAAATCTGAACTACTTCCCGAAGCAGTCACGTGGTACAGCCGGGCAGCGAGGCTTCGGACGTCATCATTTTGGGCTCCTCCCCCTAAATGAAGCACGCCTCGATTAGACCCTAACCCTAACCCCCTAACCCTAACCCAACCCTGACCCTAACCCTTACCGTGTGAAGACACGACACACCTCGGACCGTCGGCACACCTCGTAACGTCACTAATATCTACTCAGTTTAATGTCACAGGGTGCCTGGAGTTCTCTATAATTATGGTTCTTCTATAGCAAATGCGAGTGGAGCTTCAGTGGGTAGTGAGCACAGGGCACACTACAGGACGCACTGAGACCTCCCTTATGGAGTATTTTTCCTGATTGTTTGGGCAGACACATTCACACCAGTGGCCTGCTGGAGGTCATTCTGTGAGGCTTGGTGAGTGCTCGACCAGTTTCTCCTTGCACAGGGCAGCAAATATCGGTCCTGCTGATGGGTGGAGGACCTTCTACGGACCCGTCCAGCTTTCCAAGAGTAACTGCCTGTCTCCTGGAATCTCCTCCATGTTATCGCGATTGTCCTTACAACTGCCCTGCTGGAGGAGTTGGACAATCTGTGCAACTTCTGAAGGTTTAAGAAATTGCTGCATTCTCCCTGTAGTGATAATGACTAGTTAAAGCAAACACTAGTGGAAAACCAGTAATAGAGATCAAGGTTGAGAAACTTGAATTGGCCTCCACATGCAACACCAGCCCAGCTTTGGGGGTTGTCTCATTGTTGCCCCTCTAGTGCACCGGTTGTTAATTCCATCAACACCAATGCAGCTGAAACTGATCAACAACCCCCTCTGCTACTTCACCAGATCATTATCAGACAAGTGCAATTGTATTCATGTCATACCCTGATAAAATTGTTCCTTTATTCATTTTGAGCAGTAATAAGCTTAACTTATTTTGACCTTCATGTCACCAAAATGATACCTTCATTTAAGGACCTTTTTGTTTTAATCATGTGTTGTGTTTAAGGTTAAGGTACATGCATGCTCTATTATAAAGTTAAAGCTTCGTTTGAGGAACAGCATGACCACAAATGAAACATTTGATTCATTACACTGTTGCAGACCTGAGGGAGGGGCACATGTTGCTTTTGATGTTAAAAAATAGTGGAAAGTGAGAAACTTACCCGACAAATCCTGCTTTAATGACTAATGGATTAATGGTTGATTGTCTTTCGACCAATATCATCGTTTGTAACGGTTTGTAGAGTGTACTAAAGTTAACATTAAAGGAAAATCTGTCAGTCTTCTCCATCGCTGAGGCTCAGCAAGTTGAATCAGTTCACCTCAGACTATGAGCAGGCAGCAAGGCCTTCTCTCGTGGGTTTAGTGCCCACCTTGTAACACATAGCAGAGCAGCAGCTTTAACTATCCCGCACTATTAGTTCTGCCTTGGTTGCCATAATGGAGACATTACTCATATTAGCAAGTTGTACCTCATAACAGGAATAATTGAAGCTCCTATGCATTATGAAATGCTGGACATGCAGTTATTAGACCGTTATTAACAGAAAGAAGCTTGTTTGAACAGTAAACCTCCTTATAGCTTCTGCTCGGAGAAAGTCTTAATAACACAAACACACCTGCTTTCACTGTAGATTGCTGTTATTCATTTCACAGGTACACTCAGATCATAAAACAAGAATAGCAACTCATTGGCGTCATCTTCGCACCGTAGTACATAATTGACCAGCTCTACATTGGACAATACAGCCATCCTCCTGGCACTGCTTCAGTAACTAATACATCATTTTCCCTCTCAAACCCACACCCCTCCCATACAGTGATAACAATAACAGTACGTCCACACACTCCGCCCGCTTTCAGTTCACGGACTCATCTGGATACAGAAGACATGACCAAATGAGAGAGGGGGATGGCGGGGGTCTGCGTCCGGGCTCGGCTCAGTACACGTCCAGTCTCATGTAGCGCTAGAGCACCAGGATTGAGGTTATCTGATAAGAAAAGGGTGTCTGTACAGCAAGGGTCCCCTTTTGGTCATGGATGGGAATGTCATGGGAAAGAGTTGGTTCTGGAGGGAGGAGGGGGGACGAGTCATGAAGTAAGAAAGAAAGCTCAGCTTTTTGCCATTTTGTCAGAGAGGAGGATCAGAAGGGGAAAAATGAAACACAAAAATGTGATGAAGAAGGGTGTGAACCTGATCATTTCAAAAAACACCTATATAAAATAAACAAAAGTTGAAAAAAACATTCATCTATAATTTGATACATAATGGGGTAAAAATAATTGGAGAAATTACATGATTCATTGTTGAGGAGGGGACTAAGTCAGATGTGTTCGATATGAGAGGCTCAGTCAATCCTCTGAGCTTGATGAGGAGTCAGAGTCCTTCTGTGCTATGACGACATCGTTCAATAGCGCCTCTTGATCCGAGCTGTCATAGTCACCTTGGGAAAGGCTGTCGCCGCCCTCCATTTTCACGTCAAAGTCCGGACTGGTGAGGAAGTGGTGGGAGGTCTCCAGGTCCTCCTCATCCATCATGTAGGCGCCGTCCGACACCAGAGTCTCCTCTTCCACTGCGTCCATGTTGGGGTCTTCGGCGGTGGGCTCTGGAGCGTGGTGATGGTGGTGTTGGTGGTGGTGGTGGTGACGCCGCCTGTTTTTCTTCGGGATCTCCGTGTGCTCTGCTAGCAGTCGGTGGAAGAAAGTCGCAGGCAGAAAGCCCTGTAAAAAGAATAATAATTGGAAGCAACCGGTAAGAGGGCACAATCTGCTTTTACAGAGCATTTCCTCCTTTAATGCTGCAGTAAGCACAGTTCAGTTTGGAAAAGCCTTTCAGCAATCCAGTTTGCAATGAATGTATGCTATACTCTGCTTTGTCATGACACTGACAGTCGCTACAACAACACAGAAAGGCTTGCGATGAAATAACACCTCCGAGTACTTACAGATTTCCGAACTGTTTCAGACCAGTCGGGTGCTACAGCATTATCGGGATTCTCCTCCAGATATTCCCTCAGGTCTTGCAACATCGGACAAAAAGCAGCTCCGACCTACAGAGGAGAAGCATTTTGGTTGTCTGTTGACAAAAGCTGACATAAAGCCGGTAAATCCAGGCCATGATGCCAAACGCCAGGATCTCACCTTCTTTCCCGTCCTCATGTTAATGACTTTGACCTTCTCACTGCCTGTCACGGGTTTGTCGGCCCTCCTCCTCCTCTTCCTCTTGCTCCTGTTCACAAGAAGCTGAGGAAACAAGACAATATATGTAGCAAAGCCAAAATATAGCTAGGATATTTGGTTTCCTTACCAGCCTTATAATAACCCCGTCAAAGTGAATTGACACTTTGTCCTATTCACAAAAATCACAAATATATACCTCCAGCATGTCTCCCTCCACCTCATAATCTGGGTTCTCCTTTAACCAGGTGGGAGGGTCTCTGCGCCGAGGAGTACGCTCCAGTGGATCATTGAGTCCATCTGGGTCTGATAACTAAAAGAGAGACAGCCAGAAAAAAGTTAATCTAAATCCAAAGCACTTTGGTCTTTGCACCCAGCTCTTCCTGTAGTGAGTTGTGAGTAAGTGGACACTACTTGTAAAGCGCTTTTCTTTTCTTCAACTCAGTGCTCAGACACTACATGTCATCATTCACACACATTCACGCCTGGAAGCTGCCGCCTACCCACCATCAGGTCTCTAACTAACCATTCACAACTCAAGACAACTCACGGCAGCAATTTGGGGTGAAGTGTCCTCCCCAAGGACACATGTTCACTGACTAGCAGTCGAACCACCGATCTTCTGATTGCAGAAAGACCCCGATCTACCGCTGAGCCCCATTCGCTCCCGTCAGATGTAGAGCCAACACACGTACCTCTTGGTCCTTGCGCCGCTTGCGGCCACTGCTCTCTCCCCCTGAGCCATTGGGCATCAACGACTGCTTAGAGAAGGTCAGCTTCAGCCCCTCCTCCTGAACGTGTGACAAATGCAGACCTCTAATTTAGCCATGATCTACACCTGGTAGTGTCTGTTTTTTTACTTTAAAAATGGACCCAAATTATTTTGGCACACCTTCGTACAAGCAAAAGTACTTGATTAGAATTAGTATTTGAAATGAAAGGCAAAATGCCCTTAGTTTGTGTATATATTTCTTAAAAGTGTATGCCTCAGATAACATGGCTTCATTCTCCACTGTTGAGTCACCTTAAGGAGCTTGACAGTGAACTCGCCATCTTCTCCCTCTTCCCCGGGGCCACTAGCAGTGCCGGCGGGTTTGCGGATCGCCCTTGTGTAGGCCATCTCATCACCCACCAGCTCCGAGCTCGGGTTGAGCTGAGCCTCGGGCACGTAGCGCCGCCCTGAGGGCCACTGACCGGTCACCATCAGCGTACACAAACTGTCCAGGCGGTTGATTAATACACGGTCCTGAGGGAAAAAGGAGCCCAGTGAAGGAGTCATTCACAACTATAAAAATAAAGGTCTCGTAATCAAAAGAAGCCACACATTTTGTGAACTGCGCATTACATTTATTACCTTAGGCCAATCCACTCTGAGGGGATCAGGAGGAGGAATGCCATCCTGAGATGGAGTCATAGACAGTAAGCTATTTTCCTCATCTACGTCACACAGCTTCATGCCTGCTGTTGAGAAAAACAGACAATATAATTATCTTTCAGTTTATTCTTAAAGCACTCAACGTCTTCCTCAACAAATACCCACTTACCTCTTCCTGCCTCTTCCTCGCTCTCTCCACTCTCGTCACTGCTGCCCGATCGCCCGGATGACGATGAGCCGGAATCAGAGTCAGAGTCAGAATCCGACCCCCCCTCTCCCTCTCCCTTCCTTCCGCTCCTCCCCCGGCTCCTCTTCAGGCTCCAGCCCGGCGCCCGTTCCTTGCCGTCGTGGTGACTCAAAGGCGTACTATGCAGGGCCGCACCGATTCCCCCGTCAAGCAACCGGACGTCCTCTTTGGCCAGCTCCTCCTTCACAATGGGCACCTCCTCCACAGTCTTCAGCTGGCTGAGGGGCATGATGGGCATTGCCTCGGGCGGAGGTGGTGGGGCCTGCTGGTTCTGGATAAACTCTTCTCGAGCCTGGCAGAAGGTGAACTGTGGGTCCGAGTAGATGGAGAGCTCCGTGCGGCTGACACCGTGCAGCGCGGCGCCCAGCATCAGCTGACGATCGTGTTCCGGAATGTCCCACCAGGCGGGCAGCTCGGAGCTGGGGGGAGCCAGATGCAGACGCTCCTCCAGGGACGGGCAGGGCAGCGCTCTCTCGCGGAGGCGACGCAGGAGGCTAATACGGTAAAGGGTTCGGGAAGCGCGCTCCTCAGTGATGGGGGCGACCGTCTGGGAAAGCTCTGCTGATTCTGAGCAGGATGAGACAAGAGATATTTACGGGTAAGATACAGTGACAGTCAAGGTATTCTGCTTTTAGAACACTGAGAAAAAAGAACCACTCCACATTTAGTGCAGGAGCCAAATACGGTGTTATTCTCTGTGTGTACACAGGGTGGCGCTGTACTAATCCTGGGCTTGGAATCACCATTGTTGTCAGGTGTTTGACCCCGGAACAGTTTACTGTGTTCCTGACGGGATCAATTGTCGGTGGAAAATTAAGGATTTATTTGATGTTGTTCTACACCGAAGAAAATAAAGGACCTCTCATTGAACAAAACTTGACTGGATGATGTATCAAATGCAACGGCCATTGAAAATGATTCAAGTTAATTTAGGCTTAACGCCAGCGTGTCAACCAGCTCACTCCTGAGGGAAAGACTCCTCAGTAGAGCACAGTGCTGAGCCTGGCTCCTTTAACAGTAAGAGTGTGAGGAGGACGTGTGCATGTGTGGTTTCAGACAGAGGCAGAATTGAAAGTATATAATGTTGTGAGACGTCACAAAAAGTAAGCATCAAGCAATAATTAGCTCCTGCGCAAGTAGCTGCGCCGAGCTTTAAGCAGCATGTGTTCAATGTTAAGGGAGTTACCTTCGCCACGGCCTGGGCGCAGGTGGCAAACTCGCCGGCACATGGCGAGAAAAGAGCGGAAGTATCGACTGAGGCTCTCATCCGTCTTTTTATCCAGACGAGCAAAAGTCCGGAAGCGGTTCCAATCAAAATCAAGATCTGCTCCGTCGGGAAGACCATGCTCCCTTTTGATCTTTTCCACACCAAAAGTCGATACCACGCGGTAGAAGTCGCACTCCTCCCTACGCGTCCACCTGGGAGTGAGACAGAAAGGCGAAGTGAAAGGCGAAGTGAAAGGGAAGAAGGAATATTGATTGGATATCAAAAACCATGATAGCAACATCCTTGAAGCTGATGTTTTAGGTCTTCATTGATACTGCATGTGCGTAATGAGCCAATGACAGGACGTGAAACAATGCAGATTTAAACATGTATGAGGTTTTGAGAAGCACTGGGTGTAAATATAAATAACTTATAACTGTTTTGTACCACTGCACACTCTTGCACTAGTAAAAAGAAAGGCTCTAATTGACAAAATGCAGCACATAGAAAAATTAGAAAATAATTCCACGGCAGTGTACCTCTGCTGGCGCTCCTGCCGTGCGATCTCCTTCAGCTTGCTGGCCTGCTCGCACCTCCTGCGCCTGCGGTCGCCCTTTGCCTCCGCCTCGATCTTCAGCTGCTCTTGCCTGTAGCTGCGTTGGTAAGCTGTGATCAGTCGCCGCAACCGTGCCGTAAGCGATGAGCTCGAGGGCCAGTCGCTCGCACCGCTCTGGCTGGAAAAGGATTCCGGGATTGCTGGCCCCACCTTGTCTTCCACGGAGATCTCATCATCAACGTTCATGGAATCGGGCTACAAGACGAGGGGAAATGGAGGCTTGTTAAAATTGCTTTGCTCTGTTGCTTGGTTAGTCAAAATCAACGTGTTAAGACGGAGCGGGATCAATGTGACGGCTCGGATTCCTACCTCGTCGAAAAGATCTTTGGCGTGTCTCGATGCAGGCTTGAACTCTGGGTCCTCTGAGTACTTATCATAATCAGGACTACACAAAATAAACAATTAAGCACCAGTAGGCACAGGGCAGATATGAGTCAAGCAAAGACACTGCTCTACAATATATTTAATATAGTAAATTGACTTTGACAACTCTCATCTAAGGTACAATGAAGGCAAAGCTTTGAAACTAACAAATGTCAAAGTGCCTGCAAAGGTACAATAACCAGTAAAGTCCAACATAACTCTATAGGCAAATACGTTTGGAAAACTCACTCATCCCCCAGCTCAGCATCACCAGTGTGCTGCTCAGCATCAATGGCCTTGTCATCAGGTCGACCGGCTCGCTCCAGGAAGCAGAGGCAGGGATCCGCACGCATAGTGGTGTACATCTCATAACCTGATAACACAAATAGGGTTAAGCCACTTTTAACGTTTAATAAAACGTACCAGAACAGAGTTAACTGCGCCTGCTCGATAGTGACAGTGGTAAACATGACCACCGGCCAACCGATCTCGCTCTGACTTCCGAGTAGTTTATTGATGGAGGCCAATAACGTTAGTGTTTTGCACCCGGTTACAGTCTTGAGAATGGAGGGGCGGGTGAGGGGGGAGTCAGTCGGTTGCAATCTGCAACCACATTGCTAGATGCCACCAAATTCTGCACATTAAGCTTTAACAAATCCTTACAACATTTAACGTTTTCAGCTTTTTATAAAAAGAGAAAACCTACCATGTTTAAATACACCAGCAAGCAGTGAACGGTCCGCTTCGGTATCCCACCACCTTGCTGGTACCTCCTGCTGCTCCATCTCAGGCATCCAGATATCAACGTCCCTGAAAAGAAAGAAAAAACATATCAAATGAAATGAATGAACGCATCAATGAGCTCCAGTAATTGAGCCTGTGTGTCTGCCTTTGGCTGAATGGGCACACTTAAATACCTGCTGTCAGCCCCTTTCAGGACGGCATCTGCATGTTCGCCAATCACCTCCTGTTTCAGGTAGTAGAGCATGCGCACCCTCAGCAGCACCCTGCGTTAGGAGAGAGGTTTAGCGTCTGAAGGCAGATGACAGTGTCTTCTTATGAATTCGCTCCACTGACTTGTTGCACTGGTGCTTGAGGTGTTTGCGGTAGCTCTCGTCCAGAAGCAGGGTGTCAGGGTTGTACTTGCGGATCCACTCCACCTTCTGGACGTCGAACGTGCTCTGGGCCTTTACCCTCTTGCCCTTCCTACCTCTCGGGACGGGGATGGACAGGCCTAGGCAGAGATGAACGTTATACAGTCGCGTTTCTTCTCTACCAAACCAACTACCACCTCCACCTTTTCACTTTGAGAAGGTCAACATTCTGCGTGAAGCTCCTACCAGAGTGGTTGAGTAGTGTTTGCGGCTCGCGTCCGTTCTCCGGCGGCGTGATGAGCTCCCAGATGAAACTCTTGATGTTCTCATCCCCGCGATAGTGGAGCAGACAAAAGACCAGGATGACTCGGCAGATTGTCTCCACGTCGCGGTCACTCAGGCGGCGCTTACACCTGGCATGCGATAAGATGTCCCTCCAGCGACCCCAGCTTGAGCAGAAGAAGAAAGCAGGTATTATTAGTGCAAGAACAAGTGACAAGCGTATTACGAGTGTAGATGGAGAAGCAAAGTCTACGTACCCATAGACAAGCAGGTGCTTCTCCACCCGGAAACAGTCGGTGCGGCCGTAACCCCCTCCACTGTGGCGGTCGGAGCGCCGCGAGGAACGCGACTGTCTGGAGCTTGCCGGCGGATACTCGTCGTCGCTGTCCGCGTCAGACAGGTCTCCACCTTCCCCCCGTAAAGTTGAGTACTGGCGCGTCTGCTTGCGGACTCTGGGAGTGTCGATCACGAGGGTGTTCTGTGTAGGACGAAGGAACTTTTAGTCAATTGTATCTTATTCTAATAAATATAAACGCATATAATACGGAAGCGTTTATTCAAAAAGGCCACTGCATAATACACCAGTGAAATCTACTGTGACGTAATGCTGTGGCATAAGCACTGTAACCCGGAAATTATCTTCACTGTTAAAAAGAAATCTTAATTTTTTTTTAAAAACACCCCGAGCTTGCCTTTCGGTTCATGGTGTCCATATCGATGTCAGCTCTCTTGGCCCACTTCTGCCAGAATTCAGGGTCATCGAGGGCAATGTCATTGCGGTTCTCAGAGGCCACGAAGCTGGCCTTAGAGAAGGTGGAGCCCTTGCCCTCGCTCTCGATGGTGATGGTGGTGGCTCTACGCTGGAGGATCTGGTCAATGTCCTCCTCGCAGAAGCGGCTTCCCTCATCATTTTCATCCATGATGGCGGCGTAGGCTCCTTTCCTCAGCAGGTCCTCAATCTCCTTCTTGGAGAACTGCTGTACTTGCTTAAAGGGGACAGAGAATACTTTTATTTAATAAAAATGTCAACTGTCCTGGCTACTAAATGGTGAAACGAGCACTCTGATGACATCAGGACCACAGAGAGCCTTCACATCTTCGCCGCAAACTAAAGACACACCTCTTCACTCTACCTCGACTAAAAACACTAACCAATTGTAGCACTTAAATTGCACTTATCATGGCTCTTATCTATAGTAAGTTGTAAATCGGCATCTTTGATGAAATTGCACTTTCCTCAAGAAACGTCTTGTTCTTTTGAGTTTGTATCCTCATTATTGTAAGTCGCTTTTGATAAAAGCGTCAGCTAAATAACATAAAAATATTAAATACCATACATTTCTGACTAGTAGGTTCTCTTACCCCGTTGGCGTTGCCTTCTTTGTTGCCACTCATGCTCTGCAGGACAGCACGGTCCAGGCCGAGCTTCAGGCTTGCTTTATCAAGCATCTCCCTCTCGTAAGAGTTCCTGGTGATCAGACGGTAGACCTTGACGGCTTTAGATTGACCAATACGGTGACACCGTGCCTGAGCCTGGTAAGAGAAGGATCAAAAGCGCATCATTTGAAGCTGGTGAAGAAAACAACGGTTCCAACTTTTGTTTATGAAATGAAAAAGAAACACAAGGAAGCGAGTAGACATGGGAAATAAATATAAAGATGGTTCAATGTTGCAGTCTCATAGAATTATCTTTATGCCAGAAAGAATAACAGTACAATCTTGTACCTGTAGGTCATTTTGAGGGTTCCAGTCAGAGTCAAATATAACACAGGTGTCAGCAGCAGTGAGGTTAATACCCAGGCCACCAGCCCGAGTACACAGCAGGAAGACAAAACGGTCAGAGTCAGGCTTGCTGAAGCGATCGATGGCAGCTTGTCGCAGGTTTCCCCGCACTCTTCCATCAATTCTCTCATAAAGGTATCTGTAAAGATAAAGGCGAACATAGTCGATATTAACACAACCCTTGAGTCTTCAAAATACTTACTAAGGATTGTGGCAATATTTATTAACTGCAATTAAATACATCGTGGCCCTCTTACCTCTTGTTGATGAGGTAGTCCTCCAGGATGTCCAAGCAGCGCACCATCTGGGAGAAGATGAGCACTTTGTGGCCGCCAGCCTTGAGGCGAGGCAGCAGCTTGTCCAGTAGCACCAGCTTGCCGGCCGACCGAATCAGGGCTTGCAAATGGAAGTCGGGCGCCATCGGGTCATAAACACCCCGCAGCTCGGTTACAATTTTCTCCTCCGCGCCTGGACACAAAGGAGTACAATGTCATCATGCTGGCTTTTCACAAGCTCAGGTTGCTTGTTGACAGCTTTGGAGAAACATTCAACGTTTTTCAGCAATGTTAAATGTCAATCCTACTTGGCATCGCTCTCAAAACGATTGTGTGGACTGCATGGCACAATTCAGGTCAGTGACTATGTGAAATAGACATTTTCTAACAAAAATTCGTGCAAACAGCCAGACGCTCAGTCAATATTAAGTTGATATGCACTACCATTGATAAGGTAGGGGTGGTTGCAGCACTTGCGTAGCTCCATCATAGTGTTGAGCAGGTTGGGGACATTGCTGTTACTGGTTACCCCCAAACTGAGGAAACTGAAGTTCCTCTCCAGGATGGCGCGGTAGTACTTCTTCTGGACATCAGTCAACTCAACCTGAGAGTAAAACACATTCAAAGAATCAGAGGGTCACCTTATTTATATTGCTTAGACCTCTTAACGGGAGTATACATTGAACGTGCACTATTTAAACTGACCTCAATGATGGTCTCCTGTTTGGGTGCCAAGTTCTTCTCAACGTCCTCTTTGAGCCTTCGTAGCATCATGGGCTTCAAGATGGCCTGTAGCTTCTGAACCTGTAGACCCGTGAAAAAAGAGAAGAAAATAAGATTCATTTGGACTGCTACAAAACAACACATTGCACAAGGCAAAGAACGTGTGGAGTATATTTTTAACCTGTTCTTCTGTTTTTAGGTCTCCAAAGTCCTTGAGGAACTCTGTCTCAGAAGGGAACTGAGCAGGCTCCAGGAAATGAAGCAGGCTGAAGAGTTCCTCCACTGTGTTCTGGAGAGGAGTGCCGGTCAACAACACCTTGTGTTCCTGAGAGAAAACACAAGAACACAACAGAAGTGGAGGGAACACAAAATAAAAATTGTTAAAAAGTAGACAATACAGAAGAAAGAACCAGGAATAAAAATGGAGAGAAGAAAACCCCATAACAGAAGAGTCCTAAAATTCCTTTAGACATTTAAACAGCGTCCTGCTACTTTTTGCTCATTTGAACGTTGCTCCCCCCCCCCCAAAAAATCTAGATTGGGCTGTGACCCACTCACCACATCCAGCATCTTCAAGCTGTCCAATAGCTTGCAGTTGCGATTCTTGAGGCGGTGGGCCTCATCGATGATCACACAGCGCCAAGAGATCTCCCTCAACTCTGGACAATCCGATAACACCATCTCAAACGTTGTGATGAGGGCGTCGAACTTGTATGCACCTGGGATCAAGTGCTCCTATAGACAGATTCGACAAGTTTCTTTAGACATGTTTACCATCAGTAAAGCGAATCGACAACAATCGTTATCAATGACTCCACCTTGTCGTCTTTGAAGTACATCTCATACTGTTGGATCATCTGCCTGCTGGCCAGGCTGCCGTGGTAGACGATGGCGTTCATGTCGGTCCATGTGCTGAACTCCCGCTCCCAGTTGGTGATGGTGGAGAGTGGAGCGATGACCAGGAAAGGGCCCTGGACGCCAGCATCGTACTCCTCTGACAGCAGAGCGATGGACTGGATGGTCTTCCCCAGACCCATCTCGTCTGCCAGGATACAGTTCTGCCTGAGAGACGAGAACCGGAGAGGAAGAAGTGAATCTTTGGGAGAAGCCATCAACTACCATCAATCCAACAGGGGTAACGTTTTCCAGAATAAAAACGGCACAAGGCCTTCCTAGTGTTAAGCTGTATTAGAAGCCTAATTCAAAAGTTGCTACTGCTCCAAATGTAATAACAGCGCTAATCCAGATGTATGAGGATTGCAAAATCCACTTTGCTAAAGGCGACAGATGGACTGTGTGTGCGACAACTACCTGTTGTACCAGTTGAAGAGTAGCCAGTTGACTCCTTCAAGCTGGTACTCTCGGAGTGTGTTGCCGTTCTTGTACTCTCTGGTCTCCTCCAACTTCTTCCACGAACTGGCAGGCGGCCGCGGCTGAGGATAGAGAGGGAAAAATATCTATGAGTAGGCAAGAACAAGGATTTCAAAGATCTCACCGCGCCGTCTTCCATTTGACCGCTCACCGTCCTCTTAAGGCGAGGTTGCCGGTTTAGGATTTTGCTGAATTCCTCGACCTTTCCCTCGTCCACGTCCTCCTTCAGTTCCCAAGTGGCGTCCTCATATGGCAGAGAGCACCACTTGACCAAGTAGTAGATAACAGGCTGGCGGGCAAACAATGAAAGCTAGTTTTTAAAACTATTGCAAACATGTTAATTTGTAAAAGCTAAAAGGGCTCAAAGAACAGGTGAGCTCTTTTGCCCACCTGTGAAAGTGATTTCTCTTACCTCGCCGTTGTCCTTGTCCACACTGTGGGACACGTCCAGGATCCTGTCCGCCTCCACATAGTCAGGGTTAAAAGCTTCCTCATCCTAAACAGAAACAGTAGAAACGGTTACATTTCCAGCAGCTCAACTGGATCCTAAAGGGAGAGGTTTCGGGATGTGCGCCACTCTCACCTCTTGGAAGAGATTCCTCATCTGGGCTTGCTTTGTCTTGAAGCGCTTGATCTTTTGATGGATCCTCTTATCCTTCTCCAGCTGACTCAAACTGGCCCACTCGCAGTGCATGTAAGAACTGAGAACAAAAGAGTCAGGTTTTACTCATAAATGTCTCTGTGAGAAATAGCGAGTGCTTAAGTTGTACATTGAGGTATGGAAACTCACTAGTTTTTGTATTTTACAAAGAATTCCTCAACAGTGGTGTACTGGCCCTGTGACACCTTGACAAAAACAAAACGTTTTGGGATTTGAATAATTCTTAAAATGAAATTAAAGAATTAGATTGGAATTAAATAATTGGAATAGACATACTTCCTTCTTGGTCAACCTTAAAGACAGAATTTTGTCTACGATGGCAGCATCTTCCTCACTTGGGTTTTCCTGTAAAAAAATAAAAATAAAACAAACCGTCTCAATCAGTGTCTATCTTACTTGGATATAGACATATCTTATCAATCCCTACAATCTCACATTTTTAGTTAATTTAAACTCACCACAAAGAACTGCATGCTGGGCTGTCCATCAACGTCTAGCTCCAATTCCTGTTTAAGCTGCGCCGCTGTCCCACCACTGATGGAGGCCACAGCTGCCGCAGTCGTAGTCACGTCTACATCTTCCTGCTCATCCTCGTCATCCGTTATCTTGATATCAAGGTCCTCCGTGTATTTCTTCCTTTTAACCACGCGATTGGAGCGCCTCTTCTGGCCAGAAGACAGGTGTAAAATTCAGTGTGTGTGTTTATTCAAGCGGTTTAAGATCTACCAAAACGGTACGAGTCATTCATTTGATTCGTTAGTCATGTATTGATTAAAGGCAGATGTTGATACAACTATCCCTCTATTTAAAATCACATTAAATAGTTACATTAAGATCTTCCAGTCCTTTGCTTCTAGATTTTTTTCTTACTTTATATTTTAGTTGAATACCCCTGTTTTCAAGGGTGCACAATGTAAACAATTACCTCAATGTTTCCATTCCAAAGACCACTTTTCTAATCTAATGCACACCAATCTTATTCATTTAACTATATACGAGTTTGTACCGTAATGAGGTCATCGTCCAGAGCAGCGGGTGATGCAGGGCTCAACTCCCCGTCAGAGTGATCTGAGGACGCATTGCGCTTTCTTTTCTTTGCCCCCACCAGTGTAATCGTGCTGCGGAAAGGTGGCGGGAGAGAGGCCAAACAAAGACTGGTGAGAAGTGTACAGTAAAATGGTTTCTAAAAAGCCTTATTTCCACACATAGAAAAACGTGACAATGAACAAGAAATCAGTTTGAACAAAATGGTTCCCACTCAAACACGATCACTTACTTGGTCTTAGTTTTGCTTTTGCTCTTGTTCCCAGAGCCGGCTGTCGCCGTGCCTCCACCCGCTCCACCCGTTCCCCCTGGCGTCTTCACTTTGCTCTTTTTTTCGGCCCCACCCGAGGGTTTGGGAGTCGCTCCTCCAGCCACAGGACTTTTCTTCTTGCTTCCTCCTCCGCCAGACTTTTTCTTTGCAGTGGACACCACAGTCACAGTGCCCCCCAGTTCTGGGGAGGTCTGCGTGGCTGGAAGCTCATCCTGGTTCAGGACTCTTGGCAGGTTCTTCTCGCCCCGCGCTTTGGCCCGGGCAATAGCTTCAGCCACAATGCGGTTTGCTTTCTCCTGCTTGCAGAGGATCTCCACCCGTCGCACAGAGGCCGGCTCGCCAGGGGCCTTGGTGATGCGGATGGCCTGGGACGAAGTTGTGGTCGTAGTAGAGGGGCCCGCGGCCGACGTGGTGATGACCTTTACCATAGACATAGTGCCGCCGGCCGAGGATGCCGAGCTCGTCTGTCGGAAGGAGAATGTGTGAGAGTGCAGAAACCCTTAAGCCCTGCCTCTTTATATACTGGTATGCATGGATTGAAAATTAGGAAATGCTTATGAACATCTGGAGGTCTACCTGGGGTTGCAGAAGCATTTTGATCGGAACCGCAACTCTCTGTCCTCCTTGGCCCTGCGTGATCTGTAACACCTGTGGGCTTCCAGTATTGCCAGTTCCTGAGACCAGCTGGTACTGTATCAGTGAAAATAAAAAATATGTTTGATGCCACAGTCACAATTAAACATAACTAAAGTAATAGATTTCAAAACCTGAAAAGTAGAGGTATCGGCGACGATGCAGGTGACGCAAAATGTTCCTCGGGCTTCCAACCTTTGTGCTAAGCTAGGCTAAATTTATCCTGAACATATGTCTGCTGTAACGGCGACTTATCTTTTTAATATTGAACTTGGGATAAGTCAGCAAAGAAAGGTGCTGTGTTTGTATCCAACATAAGTTAGATCAGAAAACAATTTACTGATGCATTAAAAACAACTAATATTCTTACATGGCAAATTAAGGGGGAAAACTTTAACACTAAATTGCTAATGGATGCTACTTAGCAGAGGCTATGTGGGAACATTCATCATTTGGATCTGGCCTGTGCCACACAAAAGGTAGCCATTGTTCCTTTGTGGTGTACTGTAGCAGGACATGCAATATTAAGTGGGACGGCTTAAAACGAGCAGAAACAACTCAAGTAGTTTAGTTTGCTAACATTTGTCAAAGACAAATGTTAGCAAACTAAAACGTGCGTCACACAGAGCCACATTTGCTGTCAAAGCTGGTGGCATTTTGCCAGGCAGCAACATGCTAGAGGGTGTCTGATTTAAAAATGTATATATGAGAAAGAATTAACTACTTACAATTCGTTCTATTAACATCAGTAATATCCAAGACCTCCCACACACCCTTTGAAAGCATCAATAGAAAACTACCAGCTTGCACGGAGACAGCACTCCAGACGTTCACAAAAGAGGACACCAGAGTGATTTGACAAAGAAAACGATAATAATATACTGGAGGGAAAATAGAAATCTGGTTAAATGAACAGGTACCTTAAAACTCTAGAACACATTTTCCCCCACCTTAATTCCTCCTTGTTGGTTGGGCTGCTGCTGCACCTGCAGCTGAATTGTGAGGACTTTGGGCTGGCCCCCCGCCTGGCCTGCAGCCCGAGCCTGGGTCAGGGCTGCTAGCTGGCTTCCCTGGAGAACCAGTTTGCCTCCCGGGAGCTGCCCCAGCACCAGTCTAGTTGGGACCTGCTGCTGGCCCCCTTGGGTCGTCTGAATCTGCTGCACTTGTGTCAACTGTTGCTGTACTTGCCCCGCTTGGGCATTAGAGCCAACCTGGGAAGGCTGTTGGAGAACCAGGGTGATCCGCTTTGCTTCACCACCCTACAATCACATACACAGATTGAAAGCAGTTATGACACTGTGGAAAACAAGACTGATCTAAAAGTACAGCTAGGACCGTTGCTGATTTTGAGTAACACCTGCTGTGGTGCCGCTGTCAAACTGACACCCCGTGGTCTGCCTGCTGTGAGAGAGGAGACAGCGCTTACCTGCGTTTGGGCCTGCATAGCTGGCTGGAGCTGCACCTGGCCGTGCACTTGAGTCTGGCCTTGAGCCATCTGTGCTTGGGATGGAATCTGGAGCTGAATGGTCTGGCCTTGTGTCTGCTGGGGCAAAGAGGTCAGCAGCATCTGTTTCACTGGTCCATTGGGAGACTGCAACAGCCTCTGCACACCAGCGGCACCCACCTTGACTTGAGCTGGTCCCGGGCTGGCCTGATTCAACACTGTCCCCCCCTGCAGGATGGACATGCCGGGCTTAAGAGGAGTGCCAGACAACACGCGGATGACCTTTCCAGTCGTCTGGCCTGTGGCTCCTGATACAGTCTGCAGCACCTGGGCTTGACCTTGGGGACCTTTGAGTATGACAATTTTGCCACCAGCCTGCTGTGTGATGGCAGCCAACTGCTGTGGGGTGAGCTGATGAGTTATCTGCGTGAGCTGCTGCGTGGTGGCAGTGGTGGTGATTGGGGAGCTGGACACTGTCAGAGGTGAGCTCAGCAGCACAGTGGTACTGGTGGGTATGCTGGTCTGAACCTGGATCTGAGGTAAAGTATCAACCGGTACAGGAGCAGAGACAGGGGCCACAGCTATGGAAACAGTCTGAGCGGCCGCCACCGGCTGCTGCATGGCGACTTGAACGGGGGCTGGCTCCGGGATGGCGGGAGCTGCTACAGAAACACCAAGGTCTGCATTCACCATAAGGTCAGGCTCAGTCGTTGGGTCCACTTGGCCCAACGCCATCTTAAGGGCCTCCTCCACGGGGTCCGAGGAGCCCTGCGAGAAGGAGTCATCCTGCAGGGCATCAAGGTTAAACAGGGGTGTGTCCTCAAAAAGGTCCATGATAGGGTCCGCCATCTTGTCCACTCCACAGAGGGAGACGGGCACAGTTAAAAAGACTCCGAGATGGAAATTAAATAGTTACGGTCCAGTTCTTCTCAACTTTCAAGTAAACAGCTAGTAAAAGGAGAGGAGAAACACTGGTGTCAATGAAGCAGCAAAACATGAATTTCAGCATTATTCAAAGAAATGCTATACTAATTATTATATAGCTCAACCCTGTATACAACCAAAATGAGGTTGGTCTCATCAATGGTCAGTTGTAGTGTGTTTGATGTACAAAGATAACAGTGAGAAAAGTGGCCCCAAGCAGCCAAAGGCAACCTTGAGGTTTAAGTGGCGATCTCCTTCTAAAGCTACTATTTTGTTGTTGTTTCTGTGATGCGTATCAACACCACACATTAAAGTTTGGTCCCTAATGCGCAGAATGAATGCATCGTTTTCTAAATCACTAAACTTTTATAAAAACACTCACATTCAACATTACGTTACTGGGATTGAAATATTCAACTGCAAAGCGCATCGCACCACTAAATCGTTACGGGTTATAAAATAGAACACAAATATTTTTGCCAATAGACTGTAAAAAATATATATGTATATATATTGTTTTTGAAAACACATAATTGACTCGTTGCATTTTCCTGCAAAGGCTTTCAATGTGACATTTGAGCTTCAAAAACAATTACAGGAGGCTTCAATAGGTTTGAGCCACCTTGGACGTGCATTAAGTAGTTGGTAGTAGTGTGAGTCCAGGAGGGTACTGATGTTGGGAGGTGGGATGCGCTCCTCTCCGGTTGTATCGCAGTCTGTCTCACAAAACCGTCGGCTAGCATTAGCTTGTACCGCGACTAAGATGTGCTCGTTACAAAAGCGTGCGTGGCACCGAAAGCATATTAAGGTCAATAAACGTGATGTTTTTGTGGGTACGGAGACCTCCCCCCCCGTCTCTGCCATTTACTACCAACCATTCAGTCCGCCGGACTCCTTCAATCTCATCAACAAACCGGACCAAACCAAAGCAACGTGCCACAATAACCATCGCCCGACAACGTTCAGACACGGGTTAGGCCGCAATATTGTTTCGGTTGGTCTGCGTCTATTTTTCGGCAAAATACATGAAAATAACCTTCATATCCACTGCCCCAACTCTCACAGTAGTAATTTCGGGCTGCTAAATTTACCTTTCCATCGACACACATGGCTTTCTCCGTCTCACAACACTGTACGATTACAGGAAACGGCCAGGGGAAGAGCAGGAACTAACATTCTTGCCAGAGAAAGCGTAGAATGCGTGCCCCTCGTCTGCCATCGGAAGCTGATTGGTCCGTTACCTCCCAAGCCGGCAGCATTCGGCTATTTCATTGGCAGCTGCAGCAATCCGTCACATTTACAGCCACTTCTGGGCGGGATGAGAAGCCATAGTTAGGTTGAAAAGAAATAAATGCGGCCTAGCTGCAATGATTTGACTAGGTGATCTCCAACGTTGCCGTTTTACTATTATAAATGGCCACATTAGAAAGCTCGGGCCCGTCAGAGCTGACTGGAGAAAAATAGACGGTGTTATAATCATTGGTTAATGGACTGCATAACCCGAGAGGCCCGCTTGTAAATGATAATATCATTTTTGTTCCTCAAGGCTTTATTACATTGGCATCAGCTCAGATATTATCCTCACACTGGGAGCTTGCTTTACTAGCTAAAGACATACCTCGAAATTCCGTCGGCACATTGACGGGTTGAAATCGAATAGTATTATATTTTGTGCAATTAACAACAGCTTTTGCCAGGTACCAATGTCATTTATGTGCTTCAATTAGTAATTCCGTTTTGGGACTGGGGCTTTGGTGCCCTCTAGTGCCGGCAGACGGAAATAGGATTATTATCTGTTGGCTATGATAAGAGACTGGGCCAAATTATTCTGCTAATAAGAGGGCACCTGTGCAGAAAGGGGCCCTATCAAACTCCACCACCTTTTATCCTCTCTTTAATACAATCACTTGATATTAGGTGATAATGGCAACGTGAAGGTCTTTAGCATGTAAGATGATATTGTATTTTAGTAGTGCAGTTTTTTACAAAAATAAAGAGCAATTAATGTTACCAGAAACCTAACGTCGCACAGGGGAACTGCGTGGGCATCCCGAGTCAGTTGCCAGTTTTGCACAATGGTAGCTTAATCTGGCCTTCCTTTTTATGTCACCATTTCTGTTCTTCAGCCAAATATGTTAGAGCTATGATACTACCAAGAAAAAGGGAAAAAGATTATGATAGGCCTAATTATCTGCACAGGGATTAAAGGTGATGTGCTTTTGAAATAGAAGGCCGAAAGAGAAAGAGAGAGATGGTCGTGAACGAGGGAAGTGAAAGCGAGCGCATGTGACAGCACACACCACACTTTATCTGTGGCAACACTGTAGAGAAGAGCCTGCCTGGTCGCCAAGGCCTCCATCTGTCTGTGGCCCTGCAAGGAGTATCCGCTATTCACCGCACTTACTCTCTGCCCCATGCCGCTCTGCTTGGTCCACGCCAACGCTAACTCTGCTGGTGAGAGCTATATTTACAAACAGCTGCCGTGGCATCAGTGAGAGTACAATGAGAGGGAGGGCGGGAGGAATACTGTTTTGCCTGAGCAGATTAAACTAGTACGCCTCAACTCAATTATTGCCCATGAGTTTATGTTTGTCTGAAAATGTTTGTGGGAAGGAACACATTAAAAGGACACTCTGGGCCAATGTTATTTCATTTTATTTCAATATTTTCCCCTCCATAGAAATTTCTGTGTAAATAAACATTTGTTGCAGGAGACAGGCATATAGAGGACTGTCTGTGATACAGCACAGCAGAGTAAAGGGGAAGTGTGGCACATTTGTAGGCTTGCCAGGATGTCATGTGGAGTACAGCAATGTCTCAAACACTTTGAAAAAAAATAATCTTAGCACAGAGGTCTATATTGCACACGGCTACTTTATGTTTTCCCCCACAATAAACACAATAACTAGTTATTCACAGAAACAGAGCATATTAAATACACAGGGAAGTCATGTTTACTGTACTTTCTTCTTTTGGGTCTCAAGTGAGAATTACCTTCATTTGCACAATCGTTTTTGCATAAAACACCTCTCTTTGTGCGATGAATAGAGAGTAACAGACTAGTGCCACCTTTTTTTTTTTTACCTCTGCCTCACCCTTGCTCTTCTCTATCCAACGCTCCTCCTTTCAGCCCTCCAACACCTTAACCACCTTCCTCACAGGGGGAACACCAGGAACCCGGAGAAGGTGGAGTACTTCCAGCCTCCCATCAGGTTGCCTCTCTCCAGTCTGAGGTAGGCCTTGTCCCCCTTCTCCATAATCACCAGACCGGCGTTGGTGGCAGCCTCTCTGGTCACGTCCTGGTCGCCTGCAAACGCCGAAATCATCGGCCAGCCGTTCAACATCAAGCTGACCTGCAGTGAGAGGGAACCAACAACGGGGTTAGAGAGGGCATGGCGCTCCGCTGTGAGAAGCGTCAGAGTTGAGGTATCACACCTGAATAGTTTGCCTGTTGTAGGCCTTCACAACGTGGAAGTTGAAGCTGTACACGCCTCTTCTCGGCGCCAGGAACACACTGCTCTCTTGGTCAAAATGAGTGCCCACGTTCACCAGGATCTAATGCCGCAGCAAGAGAGAGAAGGAGAACAGAGGAGGGAGTCTCTTGGGTCATTCTTTTCGTCCTCGCATTTTTAGCTCGGAATCCTCCTAATATACTAGTCTTTCATGTTTATTTTAATACAGTTACATATTGCAAAAAAGCCCCAAAATATGCATGAAAATGCCGCCCAATATGTCTGTGCAAGTCATCTAAAAGTCCAGTGTTGACCTCATCGGCATTTGCCCCCACTGTTAGATCTCAGGAGAGTGCAACAACAGAATCGGTTCTCTTGAGTCAAACGTGCGCTTAAATTAAAAGTGACACATGAAGCAGTGGCATGCTCACATTGTCGAAGTAGATGATCATGGTGCGGTTGCTCATGTCAGTGGGCTCGTGGTTGGTCTGGCGGCTGGCGGAGAAGGCCACGCGGCCGGAGCCGGAGCGGACCGACATGCCCAGGGCGTTGCCTCCGGGTTCCGATGAAGGAGTGGAGTCGCACACCACCAAGCACTTGCCCTCCAGGATGATGGGCTCCGTGTCATTCTGGCCCATAGACTCCGTCGGCCCCCACAACAAGAGCACAGCCAACAGCATGGGGAGGTTGAAGGTCACTGACCTAGGGTGCATGACTGAACCTGGGATGTGTGGTCAAATATCTGAGATCGATTCTACAGTGGCGAAGCGTCACTTTGGACAACTTGACATGAAAACAAGCATGCTACAGTGAAACTAATTGTCTAAATGTTGTAAACTCAAACCCTCGGTGTAGTTTTGACTGGTAAAAGCCAAAGTACAATATTATGCACCCAACAAACCGATGTATCTTCAAATACTATGCACAAAGTATACTCAGAATTCTTCATTTGCCATGGCTGTCAATCATTCCCTTTCCCTCTGTCCTTCTAGTTTTCTTTTTTGCCCCCGACAAGTCCCAATGCTCTCAAGTGTCCTACGTGCTGTGTCAGCCGGAGCCAGAATGACAATCACGAATACAAAAAAGAAGTAGTCTCTGGGTATTTTCAAGTTGATTTCTTCAGCAAAAAACCTGACAAGGAGGCAGAAGAGAAGGCGCCGTTAAAAGGAAGAAAGGCAGCTAAGTGAGCAAAGATCCAAGTTCAGACTTTGGCTGATGGAGATGGTGGCGAGGACGGGGCGGTGAAAGATGCTGATGAGAGGCGAGGGACGAAAAAACAAAACAGATGAGGTAAGATTCTGGAGAGGTGACAGGGAAAGGATGCAGGACCCAGGAGGGAGCAAGAAAGAGAGGGTGTGGGGGAACAACTCCACTGAGTGACCATCTGTCTTTTACACGACCCCCCCCCACCCCCCCCCCAACACTAATCAACACAAATTCCCTCACACAGCCTTTCACTACACTTGTGCTTTTGTTTCACACCTATGGGAAGGAATATAGTAAGTACACATAAAAACCATGTCCTTGTTTAGTATGTTTCTTTTATTTAATTTCTGGATGTAGCAGCCGTTCTGTTGTACTCAAAATAATCAAATATTCAATTCTGGTTAGGAGACATTGACCTCAGTAGTGTGTGTGTATATATATATATTTCTTATATATATATTAAACACTAAAGTATCTTTTATTGAATTTTCAACCATTTATTGTTCACCAAGATGAGCAACAGCAGGTGTGACAACATGTCCTTGGCTTTAATACCTATACTCATCACACAAAAACATAGCTAACATTTTGTTAGGGAAGGCATCACATTCGAAAATAATCAGTTCAATAATCAGATTAATCAAATATAATCAAATAACCAACAATAAAATCAATAATCAAATAAACAGTTCATCTTTAATCGAGTGCTCTAGGATAAACTACACATTCTTTGCAGAACAGTGCTAGTATTTTAAGTGAAAACAAAAAAGATGATCACCTGTTTCCTTCTGATCAGTCTTGTATTCCATGTCCCAGGTGGAGTTGCAACGTACGGTCAAAAATGCCATATCACATTATTTCCCGGCAGAGCAGTCAGGGAGTCGATCGCAACCAAACCGGAGTGTACTCATATCGCTGCGTCTCTCTCTCCTTGTCCTCCCCCCACTCCCCCCTCCCTCCCCCTCACAGCCTTTCCCTCCGGTTCTTTCTCACCCGCTATGTTACATCCACCCACTCACCTTTACAGAGAAATAAATAAAAATGGTGTAATAATTGGCCATATGAGCTGCATCAATGATAGCAAGTGAGTGGCAGCCGTTTGTTTTCCCTTTAAAATCAAATCAGTGATACCTTCTTGTCGCCTCAAGATGTTAAGTTTCAACAAGTTACAACCGTGTTTACCTTAACAAGAAAAATGTACATCTCCGTTGATTTAAGTTGCTTCTTTTCCGAGTAATCGTATACGAGACTGAATTAATAGGTGAGTGTATGACCACATTAACCAGCCGAACCAGATGAAGGTACACCTGATCATCGGGTGTGAGATGCTTAAGCAAAGGATGCAATGAGTTAGTGTCCAGTTACCAACACCGTTATTTACTTCTTCCTTTAGCATTGTTATCACATCAACAATCATCTGCAGTTTTGTGGAATGAAAAGCACATGAACAACAATTTAGCAATCGTGTTACCAAACCCTATTTTGTCTTTTCACTGGCTGTCCAGCTAGGATCGGGTCACATTTGCTCAGGGAATGCGCTATTCTCAGATATCTCCACCCCAATATAACCTGATCACAGTTTTAAGAAATATGGTTTTGTCACTTCATTGAGGAAGAAGAGGAGCTCGGGCTCAGATCTGAAAGGAGACAAACATCAGAGAGGCTCAAAGTGGCAGGCTGTGTGGTTTCTCTAGAAGTGGAAGAATCAATTGACACCGCTTTGTCTTTTCTCCGTCCTCTCTCCTCTTTCCCCTCCTCAGACTTTGGCGATAGAGATGTGACTGTTGAGCTCAGCTTTGTAGAGTCCGAAGCCTAAGCACAGCGGCTGAGTGAACGTGGCGGAGAAAGTGTGGAGGTGGCTCAGGTTGTTCGATGGTCCCACCTCGGAGAAGGTGATGGTGCCCGCGGCGTAGTCCACGGCGACGCCCACTCGGTTGCCAGTCATTCGGCATGCGAGGCGGGTCTTCCTGCGGTTGTGCCAGGCGGCCAGTCTCCTGTCATGCTGCTGTGTCAAGCTCCATGATACCTGGAGATTCAACCAAAGCATTTTAATCAAGGGACATGTTTTTATTCTTTTGAAGCTAGAGCTGAAACAATAGATTAGTCAACTGCCACCGTGTTTGATTATTCAAAATTGCTTCTCTAAGGCAAAGGTTTTTAGCCTCTCTCGGCTGAATTGCACTCTGGGAATTCTGTTCAATTTCTTGAAAATAATACCTTGTTGTTCCCAAAGGCGTTGCCCTCTTTCCCCTTCCGTCCTATACTTCGATAGCAGACGCCAATATCCCAGAACCCCTGGGCCTCCAGCTCCCAGTAGTGAGTCCCAGAGGTGAAGGTCTGGATGGTGAGGACCTGCGGCCAGTGGTCGAACCGTTCGGCGTGGGCACCGTAGGGCAGGCGGCTTTTAACCCGCGCCGCCGAGCGAAGGTCCTCAGAGATGCTCACCAGAGGATGGGCTGTGTTAGTGTCCAGGGTCAAGGGACTGCTTACTGTGTGAAAGGGAAAGGAAATATGTTATTCCTATGTAAATAAGCGGCCGCTGGCTGTAGCTTCGTACTCAATGAACAAACATGAGGCGTAGAGTTCTCATCTAACTCTACGCAAGATAGAGAAAAAGCTGATCCCCATGAAATCTTAAACAGTTCCTTTAAGTTGAAAGGGTCGGGCGTGTGTCACCCATCTGCCACTCACACAGCTCCCTCTTGAGTTCACTGAGGCAACGCAGGGTGCCGGTGATGAAATCTCGATACTTGCTCTCAATGTCCTCCAAGATGTGTTTCCTGTCCAGACTGATGGGGTCGGGGATGAAGGGTGGGTTGTTCAGGTCGGCTAGTAACCTAAAATACAAGAGCACAACATGCTGCAGGAGGAAGACACTTACAGGTGAGAGGCTTCTTGTGTAGTGAAATAATTATATTCATTGGTTCAATTTGTCCTCCCTTTGGGGCCCTTTGTCTTATATGTATAAAGACCGTGCACACAACCACACACACCCACACACACACTGACGTGTTTTAGACTTACTTTGTGTCATCGGATTGAAAGGCCTGCGGAAAGAAGAGTCAAGGATAGCTGAGTAAAACGTGACTTAAGAGGACTGGAAGAATTTCCAATCTCACTTTGTATCTGGATAAGGAATAAAAAGGGTTATTCAACAAATAACTAGCTCCATCTGTGGGCTGAGCTTACGCAACATTATCAATAATATTTATTCTTATTGCTTGGACTCTAAAAGTGCTAACAAAGAGCTGTTTCACGACAGCATAGTCTGTGGGTTAGAAACTGAACTGTTCTCTGAACTCCTTTTGAAAAACTAAAATTGGCTTTGTGCTTTAAATAAAAGTACAAAGTGCCATGGCCTTGAATATCTTTTTTTCTCTCCATCAGAGTCTTCCTTTGCTAAAAAATAGAACTGATCCAGGGGCGTTAAATTATTCTGCTAAGCACACCCCAAGACAAATTGTAACAGTTCATTGCACGACTAAAATCCCCATCTAATTTTACTCTTACCCAGATGAGCAGGAAGGGGTCCGTCTCTGCCAGCAGCGAGGCCAGGTAGTGCTGGATGCTCAGCGCCTGGCTCATCTCGCTTCGCACCTTGGAGCAGTCTTCGTGCACGCGATCTACGACCTGCTGTCTCTCCCTCCTGGTGATCTCCCTCAGAGCGATCACCAGCCTCACCACCTGGACCTGCAGGTCCAAGCCCAGCCGCTCCACCTGGGTGTTGTCCTGCTTTAGCGAGTCCTGAAACCATTTAAGAGAAGTGGTCGGTTTGATGCCGGATCAGTGAGTGGTTGAGACATGATCAGAACACCTCATCCATCTGAAAAGCAGAATGACTAACCAACTATCTACCGAGGGTGTCATTATGTTGCATTGTCCACGCAGGTTTAATGTTTTTACTCACAGCCATGTTGGAATCGAAACTCTCATGCTCTTGGAGGATTCGCTCTCCATCTTTCAGCTTCTCCTTTGCTTTGCTGAGCAGGGTCTGGAGTATGATCTGTGCAATCACACACGCATGTGAGAACACGCACTAGTGCCACAAACAAACGTCAACAAACGCATCTAGTGCTCCAGCTGACCTTCAGGTCCTCCTCCACCTGCCTCAGCGCCTTAACTTTGTGCTCAGCATGGGCTCCGTCCAGCAGACAGTCACCGCACACATACATCCTGTCGTCGGCGCAGTAGTAGCGCAGTATCTCTGTGTGTGTCGGGCACCGTCGCTGGGAGAGGTCCCCGAGCGGGTCCACCAACAGGTGGTTGCCAAACGCCGGCCTCTCCAGATGGGGCTGGAGGTGCGCGGCACACAGCGACACTTCACACCTCAGGCAGGTCTTGACAGCCGGCGGGGTCTCTCCTTTATCCGTGGAGGGAGGGCAGCAGTCACACGGCACTTCACCGTGCTCCTCCTGACACTGGGGGCAGGTAAAGCGACCTTTGCCCTCGCCCTTTCCGCCCCAGGCCTCGCGGATGCAGGCGGGACAGAAGCTGTGTCCACAGGGCAGGGGGTGGGCCTGACTGAAGAAGTCTCGGCACACAGAGCAGGTGAGCTCCTCCTCCATGGACGCCATGGTGAGCGGATGAAGGGTCTCTGGTGTGTGTGTGAGTGTGTGTCACACAATGCTTCTAAATAAACAGTAGATAAGAGAGGAATCAAAACACATTGCTGATTTGGATGGCAGTCAGTGACTGTACACACATGCTGAGGAGATGTAACCATATCGGCCCCAAATGAGAGACAGCATTTCAACAAGTTACATGATGCTGTAAAGCAGCTGGTGGCACGTCCCTTCTCCACACCAACCGTGCACTCTGAATTAAGTAATCCTGTCCACTGGGCTTTTTCTTACCGCGATCTATGAATAGAATAGTAATGAGCAAAATGAACGGTGGTTGGACAAAAGTAACACCTCTCTACCTGAGGGAAGGAAGGAAGTGTTTGTAGAAAAATATGCTTTGCTGATTATCACAGTAAGAGTAAAGGGCTGCAAAACTGACTCTAGATTAACTTGAGTCAAACCCATGCGAAGGGGATCAGGAGATCATCCTCGACAGCTTGCTGGTCTGAATCACTTTACACGTGCTCCGCTTTTGCACGTTTAACCACAAGCTCAAGCAGATGTTCATATCAACTGAGTTTAATGAGAAGCTCAATAACAGTCTGGAACAGAAGTGGGATTTCCTACCTGCCGGTGACCTGGTGTTTGCAGCCCGTAGCCATCAGTGAGCGTGTGTTGTGTGTGTGACCTTTTTGTTGACTGTGGAGGCTAATCCCAACAGATCCACCTCCCCCCTGGCGGCGCGGGACTCAGAGAGATCACATGACCCTGAGAAGGGGTTGGGGTGGGGATTATTAGGTTAACTGTCGTCTCAGAAGACTTGTTTCTTACACTACACCATTTAAACCGTGCCAACATCAGCTCATTTTGTTTTTTTTTAATAAAACATGGAACTCTATGCTCATCCTTTGAACTGCATAGCAATGCTCCTGACTAACACATATTGTATTATATATAGAATTGTCCAAAACCATTGAATGTACAAGACGCAAAGAGACTGATTTCACGTATCTGAGAGGCGTGTATTTTTCCAGAGCCCTCAAATCACAAACACAACTTCAGGCTGATTTTGTCAGAAACAATTATCAAACATTAGGCCTACAGGTAAAAGCAATGAGGTAATAATGGAAGCTGCAGGGAATCCACAGCTGAGAGTTGAGAGCTTGAAGTTCACCCATTTGCATTTACACTAGTGTACAGATTACTTATCCAAATGGAATTTGAGATCCTTAAATTTCCCTCTTTTGAAGTTTTGAGTGATCCATTTCAACAGCTGTTGGATGATTGTCATGAAATGTTGTACAAACATTCATGTGGACCCTTCTGGATGAATCATCAAGTGAGTGATAATAATGGTGAGGGGGGAAGAGTTCACAGGAACGGGGTAACGTTTTGGGAAATAAGCTTATTTGGTGTCTCGCTAAGAGTTAGCCTTAAGGATCAATATCACACTCACATTAAAATTATGAATTTAAAGCAGGCACTTAGCTCAGTATTACAAAACTAGGAGAAACAGCTAGCCAGGTAGCATCCAAAGGTAACAACCCCCCCATAGCCAGAATTAGTCCTGGTCAAACCACAACTCTTCTTTGTGCTAAGCTAAGCTAGCCATCTCCTGGATGTGTACATTTGCAACAAAAATGAACTAATGAGCATGGCACTGAGCCAAAAACGTTAATTGTATGTATAGTGTACGGTAGGTGTATAGATTTAATCCATGCCCGTTTGGGCAAGATAAAATGTTACTGTTTTTTCCGTTGAATATGTGTCATAAATGCACGGCTTGCTCTTAAAGCTATAAAGAGGTTACCTAAACCCTCTCACTACTCGACCAGATGACAGTGAATAACTTTACAGTCTATACGTGTTTTTGTAGGCTAGCAGGAAGGGACAGTACGGTATGTGATGAGCACAACTTAATCATATTCTTCCCTGAATTTGGTCATACTTTGACAGGATGAATGGGAAATAGCAAGACCATTCAACTTTGCTCGGAAAATTGGGAAATTTAAAAGCATCAAGGTCAATACTCTACAGATGTAATACAAGATAAAGCTTCCCTTGTGGTAAGGATCCTGTATATTACATAGATACCATGGTGTTGTAGGCCGGGTAAAGTGCCTTACACTTCTTAAAGTCTGCTGGCCTGCTATGCTCTCCTGTGTCAACTGAAGAAGGACAGATCTCTATCACACAGACACAGACCTTCTCACTGTCTTACTCCTCTTTTGACAATGTCAACCTGATCCTCACCACATTATTCATGTTGCCATTCCCCATCGCCTGCCTCCTCCCTTCCTCACTACTTGTGGGTCTCTTCATAGAATAGGGCCATGCGACACGGCACAAAGAACAGGTTGAGCATTTTGGGGCCTGGTGGTGGGGACACTAGCACTTTTCTTCCTCTTTTGTTTCAGAGAGGTCACAAGGAGATTTCTCAGTTTTTTTATACTAATGCCATGTTCTATCTTAGCCCCTTTTTTTTTTCATTAGGATGGATATAAGGGACAGTGGAAGCATTTCCTTGCTGTGAAACACCGCTGATGAGCCTGTGAGACTTTCAGGATGAGCTATCAGACATTTCCCAGACGGAGACAGTTTTCTAATTAGTCTGTGGTCTAAAAATGGAACTGCATCGAAGAGGGAGTTTTTCCGCATACCCCGTGTATTGTGGCTCAGCTTTGAACCATCTTTCTTTCACATGATATGTGTAACTGCTTAGAATTTCCAAATCACCTCCCAAACAAGAGGTGTCAATTCAAAAAGCGGTGCCCATCACACAAAGTAGGACAATTGCAGGCATCTGGAAAATCACTGTAATAATGCTGCGCAGGCTTCTTAGGGGCGCTGTACCCTTCAATGTCTACCCCAGTGTACCAAGATTTCTGTGCACACTCACACACACATAGGTGAATAATCTAATCTAATCATAATCTGAAATGATTAAAGATTGCTCTGATAGGCTGGAGAAACTGTCTTTACAGATGTATTTGAATTAGAATAATATGTAATATGTATGTACATCATATGTTTTTTTTCCAGCGTGACTGTTTATCTTTTACATTACATTACACTATATGTCATTCAGCTGACGCTTTTATCCAAAGCAACTTACAATAGGTGCATTTCAATCATAAGGACATAAACTCAAAAGAACAAGGAACAAGGAAGTGACACTTTTATCCAAAGCGACTTATCTTGATGCATTAAATAATTCATACATTAAATATATTTGTTTTTAAAACAATATCCACATTTTTATGCAGTTGTGCTTAATTTTAGGTGGACCGTATGGGTTTGAATTTGAGGTACTCAGGCTAATTGTTTTAGGTTTCATCTTTTTTACTGACCCAAAGATCACAGCATCTGTCCGCCACGGGTTCCCGTTTATCACATGATAAGTTCGGTATAATGCTTCTCCTTTTGTCCTGAAAAACACCATACGCGTAACACTCGTGGCACACGTGGTGTTTGTGTGTCCTCTCACGCAGTTCAGCAGATCTTACAAAGAGGAGGTACAGTAGGTTGGTTAAATTGTCCTGTGCTAATGTCCTAATATTAAAATGCCCTCACAGTTAGCAACCGATCGGGTATGCAGGCCTTAATGCATTGGGACACCATTTGGGCAAACACCCAGAAGATAAATCCCACTAACGTTGGGTGATTCCATGACTTTTCATCTTCCGCCATCAGGAGATTAAAATGTTACATTTGTTTAATCGTTTGATTTATGATCATGTGTTAAAAAAGGACCTTCCCATCACTGTCAGTTGTAGGCCTACTTTGTGTTTACTGCCAGGGGAGATACTGTAACTAAGTCTTACAGGTGTGTTGGTCAAACATCTACTTTTTGAGCTGTGATGTAATTTCTTCACGGTCATTTTTCAGTGTCTATAGCATGCAGTGCCTGGCACATCATCATTGCTGTAGATGTGTGATGTGTGCTGTTCTGATTGGATTTCATTCTTTCATTGTCAGAAAAGGTGTTAATGGGTTAAATGTGTATTCTCAGGTAATAATTAACTTAGAGACATATATATCTCTACTTTAACTAAAAAATTGTAGCACTTAAATTGTACTTATACTGGCTCTTATCTATAGCAAGTTGTATTGACTTACTTGATGAAATTGCACTTGATTGATTGATTCTTGTTCTTTTGTATCCTTATGGTTGAAATGGTTGCTTTGGTTAAAAGTGTCAGCTAAATGACATGTAATGTAATGTAATAAATGAATTTGCATCGACCCGTATGTTTTGAAGAAAGTCAAGATAGAAGATATTCAAGAGGAAGGCCATAGGTGTGTAAACAGCATCCAGACCTATAATCGTCTCTTTGTCAGTCTTGTATCCAAATGAATCATTGACGATGATGAAGGAGTACCTGCATTTGTCTCAATGGTTGTGTTCGGGTAATTCCGGCCGTTATATCCGTTATGGGTCAGTCTAATTTAAGACCGTAAATCAAGTCACTGATTGAGACTACATTTTATGATATTATATTAAAAATATGAATTATGATTGTTTGATGATATCCATAGGTGGCACATGTCATGCATGCGTCTTTGTTGAATCCCCTCATGTCCGACACGGTGTGTGCCTGCAGGCCTCCGTGAGACGCACACTGAGAGACAATGTGGAGGTAACCGCGGTCACTGTTCCCCCGAGGACCGTCTGGCGGCGAGGGCCATTAATTATAAGAGACAGCGAGACAGACAGCCGGCCTGCTAACCAGACGGACAGACAGTTCCGCAGAGAGCGTAGACAGGCCCGACGGGCGCAGGCCCCGACACATACAAAGAAAGGAGGAAGAGCAGCACGCACGGCCAAGAAAAGACCTAATCCTGCCCGTGCGCTCTCTGCGCCGCCCTGCTCTCCCCCCCCCCCCGGCTGCCAGTGGACTATGAGTAAATACATCCAGGCACAATAACCCTTTGTCACAAGAGAAACAAACGCGATTTGCGACGGGGGATAAATAATTGAAGAAAAAAAATGCGTCTGTCCGACTGCGCATCCCTGGGAGTGAATAGGGAATTGCTGCGCCAGTGTCCCGGCTGAGAGACGGAGCAGATCTCACCCAGCCTAAGCTGCTGAGCCCCCCCCCCTCCCCTCGTGTCATTACACAATATCGCTGCCAAAAATCATCGTTTCAAACATGGTAAGTTGTTTTTTTTGTTATATTCAAAGCGGTTGTGTCGGCGACGAGCGGCCTGTGGGGGGAATGCACATCCGGGAATGTATTTTTTTCGAGAAGTCATAATATTTTATGAATCATAACTTGTTATGATGTGGGAGCGCGCGTGGCGTGCAACAGGTCGCCGTACAGTAGCGGGGACGCGCATGCCGGAGCCGTATTTTGCGCTTGTATGGAAACATTGGTGTAGAAACGAGCGTCGTAACACGCGAACATAATGGCGAGATGGCACGAGAAACGCGTTGTTGGCACAATAGAGTTCTGGTTAAAAAAACAACGATATTCTCTCCTTTGGAACGTTTGGGAACTATGACAGTTACGGCTTCTCGGTCTTTGACACAATATTGTGGATTAGCCTGCGCAACGATGTGCACGTTTACAGACGATTTTTTTCTTCTTATTTTAATCATTTTATATTGTGCGGGAATCACTGCTCTGTTGGCAAATGGAAACTCTTATTAAATCATTCGGACTTCCACTGTTCTAAAACGGAATATCTGGGTTATTTTAAAAAGAATTAACGCACACATTTGACTGCTTCGTTGTGACGACCCGACGTCCAGACTTAATGTCAAATCTCGATTACATTTTATTATTCTGTTCGTTCGAGCCTCAGTAAAACACAGAAGAAGTAGGGGGGGGTGAAAAATGATATTCCTCTCCGGCCGTGTCGTTCTCTCAATACCTTTCTCCACGTGGTGAGCAGTCGGGACGAGGGGGAAAGAAGAGCGAGCATTGTGCCTGCAGTCAGTGGCCTTATGTGTGAGAGCGGCTCTGAGAGGGCGATGTTCACTCAGCTGTGCTCCCTACACGCCATTGTTGCAAATTCCACCTCATTTCAGCTGCGCTGTTTACCGACAGCTCACACACGGATCCCTCACCTCGAATTGACCTGGATATCAGCGTGTGTGACGAGGTGGCCTCAGACACCAAGTGCTTGTTTAAACGTAAAACAGAAAACATTCAAGGGAAAAAAGCGGAATGAATTTAGCCGAGGTGGTGTTGGGTTTAACGCGCACCCGCGGCTCGAGTTTCCTCGTGTCACGCAGAGGAAGACGCGCGGTGACGTTCGGGGTTTTACAGGCTGGTATCAGTCATGGAAAGCTCAGGCAAAGGGGCCTGTGTGGGATGAACTTGAGCACCAAAATGTATGAAGGATGACCAAAGAGAGGCAGTGGACTCTTGGCTCAAAAGAAGGGGTGTTCACTCTGCCATTTGAATGCAAAGTAGTGGATGAACAAGTGAGCTGTGTGTGTGTGTGTGTGTGTGTGTGTGTGTGTGTGTGTGTGTGTGTGTGTGTGTGTGTGAGCGAGAGAAAGGAGGGCCAACGGTGAGTTTTGAGAAAAGGGAGACTTGTTGGGAGAAACAGTCACACATGCCTCTTTGGCACTTTAGTTTAGTCTTTCTTTCACTGCACCACAATGCTACCAAGGCGGACACGCTTTGCGACTAATCAATCCGGAGCATCCATTGTCACAATTTTGGAACGTTTTTCTTCATTTTATCCCCTGTAAGTAATTTAGATACCTACTTTTTTCAGTGCGCAGGGAGACAGAATAAAAGTTGTGTGTTGGCCAATGCGCCCCTGCGTCGTTCCCATCCTGCAGAAGCATGTCCCGTCGGAAACAGAAACGACCCCAGCAGCTTATGAGCCTGACCCTCGGTGCCTGTCGGATACTTGAGCATGGTGAGAAATATACTGAGACAAAATAATATTGGTGAATAAGTGGGATTGGATTTGTTGTAAAGTAAAAGAAGAAAAAAACTCAGAGACTGTTCCATTTAGTAGCTTATAACAATGGTATATTTATTTATGGTAAATCTTATATAGGTAGTCTGTGTGACCAAGGGTAACTTGTTAAACCGTATATGGAAAATACCAGATTTTGAATGTCCATATGGGCAGTTAAGTCCTGTTTTTAATTTTGTTGACTTCATTTAATCACCATCCTCATTTCTAAATGGGTTTCTCAACAGAATGACAGTTTAATCATTTCATTTGTATTATGTTAAACGCTTATAAAAAGAGGGTTTGTTTGAATAATTGGCCTGCAGTGTTTAATTCATTCTCTGCTGTTGCAGCCATTAGCTGCTTTCTGTGCCCAGTAAAATCCCAAATGTCTTCACTCCTGATCGTTGCCAGGTTCAAAGACACAGACCACCCAGAATGGGAGGCTATACAGTAAATACCCTACGAAATAATTGGTGAAAAACAAAATATAGCAAGATACAGGTTTTTATGAGCAAAGAGTTGTGCGTGAGAAGGTCAAGGAAAATGAAACTTT